AAAGTGGAACTGCAGACATGAACTCATGCCACTCTTTACCTTTCTGTACTGAAAGGTCCTAGAAGCAACAATATCAATGTGACACCTAGATTGTGGTCTCTAAAAACTATTTGCCACTGATGGGAACCAAATCTTCTTTAAAAGGAAGAAAAGGTATTAGGGGGCGAGGGGGGGGGTGTTCATTTTTGGTCTGAGACATGGAAATGAACAAAATGGGCCCAAGATGTCTTACTGGGACAGAAAGTAAGAAAGCTATTAAAGACTGTGGGGGCCAGGCATGGTGGCGCAGACCCAAAATCCCAGCAACTCAAAAGGCTGAGGCAGAAGGATTGAGTTCAAAACCAGCCTCAGCAACTTAGGGGGAACCCGTCTCAAAAAATAAAAAGGTTGGGGATGTGGCTCAGTGGTTGGGTACTCTGGGTTCAATCCCCAGTACTAAAGGAAAAAAGAAGACTGTGGGGTCACTGCCCAAAGCACCCAGGAATCCACTAGTCAAATGGGGAAGAATCAAAAAAACCAATGACTGTAATTAACTGAAACAGCTCATACATAAAAACCAATGACTTCGTAATGGGAAAATGACAGTAATTTTCAAAGGTTGACTTTCCAGCACTTTCTAAGTACAAAAAAAATGATGAAGCCATTGTCTTGCCTTTCCTGTATATCCAGGTAGTAAAGTAACTGCTGAAGGAAAAAGTGCTAATAAACACAGAAGGGCTAGGCCATCTGTAATCCCTAACCATGGGTCCACGGACAAGGGTAGATAAGACCCTTAGGCGGAAGGGTAATAATGGGGAACCTCAACAAACATGGATCTGGTGATGCCCGTGGATTATCCTTAAGAAAAACAGAACCAGCCAACGTTAACAGCCTTGCAGTGTGGCGCAGCGGTAGATTCATAGCACCAGGAAGACGTTTTCACACCAAAAGAAAAGGGGCGAGTCCAAGTGTCCAGGAACAGGTGTAGCTGCCAGTTTCCAGAAAGCACTGGGGGCGGGGCAGAAGTTAATCAATGCCATAAGAAAGCAACCAACAAAAGTTCAAAGTGTGGGACGTGGTACAGGACAAACAGCTTTTGGGGGGATGGAAGGGTGGAGGAGGGTAAGGTGTCTCAACAGAAACTGGACTTTGGATTCCGACTCAAGCCACCCACATGCATCGTAACCTGTCAGCGTTGCCATTTCCAAGGATGAGCTGACACCATGCTTGGATTTGCTTTAAAAAACACTTCTGAGGCTGAGGTGTGGCTCAGCCAGAGAGCACAAGCTTTGCAGGTGCAAGGGCCTGGGTTCCAACCCTAGCACCATCAAAAATTTTAAAAATAATTTTAGTTGGTCCTTTTTGTCCCTGATCCCAGTAGAGTCTGGAGTTGGTGGCGCCATTCCTTATCAGCCAGGGCCAAAACCAGCACTTGGGTTATCCCTGCTTTCTTTGAGTCTGTGCGGGGCCCAGTACATGCCTGGGACACACGTAGAGGTGGGGTCCTGAGAAAGCAACAGCCATACATCTGGAGACAGATAAAACATGGATGTGGAGCCCTGGAGACTCCTCATACTACTCTACTCTTGTAGGTCTGAAATTTTCCAGAAAGCGCATGCACACACACACACACACACACACACACACACCTTCAAATCTTCTGCTAGAAAGCAAGTAAGTATTATACTTAGAAAAGAATTACCTGGAATACTTGTTAAAATTGAATCTGGGGCCTGCTCCAGACCTCCTGGATCCAAATCTGAGGAGGAGACCTTACCAATCTGCCTTCTTAGAAGCTCCCCCCTGAACCCAGTGTGTCCCAACTCAGGTCTGCAGGCCCCAGTGTGGATCACCAGCACCTCTGTGAGAACAGCTTCCATACAGTGATGAAGGGAGTCAGGTGACAGGGTGAGGGGTCAGTCCCCAGAAAGGAAGTGGACACAGGGAAAGGAATGGATGCTTGGGGTGGTGATGTGAGGGGACATATCTTAAGGCTAAGGACACACACTTTTGTCAAGAAAGAGACTAAAGACAGGAAAGAAGTTGCTGGGGCTACGATCCCAAGACAGCCTGAACAGGGAAGCCCAGTGGGAGGCTTGGCTTGGACACGAGGACAAGCACGTCCAGCCCAGTAGCCAGGAGCTATGTGCAGCCACTGAAACATGAAATGTGCCACTAGAATAAAATGCCCTCTGGGCTTCAAAGACTAGTATTTTAAAAAGTCAAACTATCTCAACAAATTAGTTACACTGAGCCAGACAGTGGCACACACCTGTAATCCTAGTGATTCAGGAGGCTAAGACAGGAGGATGCCAAGTTCAAGGCCAGCCTCAGCAATTTAGTGAAGCCCTAAGCAACTTAAGTGATACCCTGTCTCAAAATAAAAAAAAATTTTAAAAGGGCTGGAGATGCAGCTCAGTGGTTAAGTGCCCCGAGTTCAATTCCCAGTACCAAAAAATAAATAAATGAATTTGTTACACTGATTATACCTTTAGGTGATAACATTTTGGATGTAGTGTTTAAGTAAAATATAGTTGTTATTAAAATTCATTTCACTTGTTTCTTTTTTGAATTATTAAATGTGGCTCTTAGAAAAATTTAAATTACACATAAAACTCATTCGAGGTTAGCATTACATCTCTATTGGAAAATGCTAATCTAGAAGTCGTAGGTGCCCACCAAAAACACCTAACTCAAATAATCATCTCTTTTATAACCCCCAAATCAGCCTCAAGCTGATTGGCCAAACTGGTTAAAAAACAAACGTGCTTCCTACAACCAAGTAATTATCAGAACAGAAGAAACTGCAGTGAGGAGTGAGCACAGGTCACCTGTTCTCAGAGGCAGCCACATTTAGCAATTAAGTCGCTAAGGACAGGCTCCAGGAAGCGGCCACAGGAAGGACATCAGCAAACACTAAACCCCTACTAAGTTCCAGGAAAAAGCCGGCTCCAGTCGGGTCAGGTCAGGTCCCCACCCTCAGAAAGCTGCCCAATGGGTCTTGGTTATTATCCAAACTTAAAGAGCAGGAAAACAGCCACATGTTGGACCTCCAGTCACGCGGTCTTCCCCACTCCTTTGGGTCAGATCTACATTCTCCAGCCGGCCTGTACCCCACTTCTACAATTGGGGGGGGGGGGAGGGCGACGTGAGGTGCTTCCTGGGCCTCTCCCATGTTCTCACAAATCCCTCCTCCCCATCCTCCTCCAGGACCCTGTGGTATGCACCTGGATCTTCAACCCCTGCCACCTCTTAGTGCCCCAAAGATAAGAGAGCAGCAGTGGGTGTTTGCTTGGGGGTGGCCTTATCTAAGATCAACACAGTGAGCCGGCTCCTGTCCCCTGTAGGTGCCCGGGTCGCCATGGTCAGGCACTGTCTGTTCTGGAGTGTTTGGGGTAGGAATGGCTCTGGAAAAACCCACAGGCCTCCAAGGCCTCCAGAGTTCTCTCCACCTCCACCTTTGGCCCCTCCTGGGCTCAGGTAACGACAAGCTGTGAAAGCACAGGTGCTGTCGGGACGTGGGAATGTCGGCCACCATTGGTAGATGACAAAGTTTCTCTCCAGGAGTTTCTCAGCCCCCACATTCTCCCTAGGGATGCAGCCCAGCCTGCGATTCCTGCCCGAGTCTCTATAAGGGCCCAATCCCCACAGAAGGCCATCTCTTAAGTCAGGGTGGACCCTGGCAACTGTCTGTTCCGCTGTCCTTGTCCTCCTGACTGGACACAGGCCATCTTCCTGAACACCACGGTCACCATGGAAGCAGATGGCTATCGGAAAGCACCACATCACGAGAAGGGAGTCCTGGCTTTGTCCCAGATCTGCACGGCTTTGGGCAAAGTGCAGCCCTATTGCTTTCTAGGTTTTCTCCCTGTAAAATAAAGGGCTCAGGCTCGGGGGCTTTCAAGTCTTCTCAACTCTTTCATCCATGCTATGGTTTGGGCTCTCCCAGGTCAAAGGCTCCGTGGCCGCCCTCCCACAGACAGACCTCGAACTTCTCAGACTAGCAGTTTTCCAGGCCACCCCAACAGGACCTCAAACCACGTCCAGCCCTTTGATCACTCAGCCCTGCTGCCGCACAGCCCATTCGGCACCTGCACCTTCCCGCATAGCACTCTGCATCCCAGGCCGCCCCAGGCCACCACTTGGCCTTCCTGCAGCCTCCCACCGTAGCCAAGCCCCAGACTGAAGTGAGTCCCTCCTCTCAACAGTGAGGCTTCTGCACAGGCGACTCGCTGGACCCTGGGGAGCAGCTGTCAGCATCTACAGGAAGCACGGGGAGTGAGGAACTCCTGGGCTGATGGTGCAATGGCCTTGACACCTGCTTGCAAGTCCTGTGGGCCTGGTTCAGAAGGGCTGCGCAGCCTATGTGGCTTTCCCAGGATGTTCAGGATCTGCCTGGGGCCAAACAGCTCACAAGGCAGGCACCAGTGCAGGGCTGGGGACTTCCCCAGGTCCACTCAGTCTCCCTCCCCTCACCCTCAGGACCACAGCCTCAGGGGAAGGCGAGCCGTTAGGGGCTGGAGTGCTGCTCTAGGTGGTCCATCCCCAGCACCTCCAAAGAAACAAAAGCAACTGCCAAGGCCAAGACCAAGGCCAAGCCCAGAGCCGCTGGCACTACCAGGAAAACACCAAGTGTGGCCACCCTATACCTGCTCTTAAGGGAGCAGCAAGCGCCTCATCCCCAGTCCTCTTCATCTGTGCAATGGAACCTGCACTCACCGGGGAGGATTCTGTGACCCTGGCTCCTGCTGTGATCCAGAAGCTTTAGCTGAGAAAACAGGAGAGGACTGAATCAGGCCCCAGGGCCTTGCCCCCCAGGGCAGATACAGGGGAAGATGGGGGTCACGGATAGCAGAGCCCAGCACCTGCCTCACCTTACCTCCCCTCCCCTCCCCTCCCCCAGGGCCAGGCAGCTGGAGCAGTCCCACCTGGGCCAACCCAGCAATCTGCAGGGCAGGTGACCTCCACTGTTGACTCTACCCAGAGGACATGAACATTTTTAGTTCCCTAGGAATGTCCATCAGCCCACACAGGAGCCAGCTGCCTCTGAGATGAGGTCGCTGGATTAAAACAAACACCAGGCTTGCTATATAAGGACCAGGGGGCCCCTGGGCACCACCTTACCAGGAATCCCAGGTAGGCTCACTCCTCTTTATGTCTGTGTGTGCTTACAGGTCTGCCTTACTGTGTGCCCGCTGGCCATCTGCTTAACCTCTCTGGGCTCAGCCGACCCATTTTCACAAAGGGGAGAAGGACAACCAAGGTCAATGTGACAGCTCAGGGACAGGGCTCGATTTAAAAGCTGCCTCAATCCCAGGCTGTCCCCTGGAGATCCTGCTGGTTCAGCTTCATCATCAGGGACTAGGACAACCAGCACTGGGGTGGATGCCCCAAGTCTTTCCCACACCAAGATTCACAGAACCTTTATTTCTCCCCAACCTTGGAGAGGGAGACCCTCCCTACTTCACAGTCACCACTCAGGTCCTTGAGTCCCCTCACCTGTCCGCTGGGCTCCTTCCCAAACAATTCTGAGGCACATCAAGGGGATGAGACAGGCAACCTGGAAACCCTCTCTCCCTCAGGGCTACCTGAAGCCATGTTCTCTGCGGGGACCATCTGCAGCCTGCTGCTCCTCAGTGTGCTCTGGGTGGACGTGGCCATGGCAGGCTCCAGCTTCCTGAGCCCCGAACATCAGAAAGCCCAGGTGAGCCCCTCCGCTGCAAAGCCCCACATTCTGACGGGGGAGGAAGGTCTTGCCCCACTTAGCAACAGTCACGTGACCTGGGGCAGCAGCTCCACCTCTCCAGGCCTGTGCCTCTCCCAGAACACAAAGGAGGGCTCTAGGATTGGCCTGATTCTGTTTCTAGAAGGACACGGGGCGGGGGGGGGGGGGGGGGAGAACGACTCAGGACCCAAACAGAACTCTCTCCTCTCCAGCAAAGAAAGGAGTCCAAGAAGCCACCAGCCAAACTGCAGCCCAGAGCTATCGATGGCTGGCTCCACCAAGAGGACACAGACCAGGCGGATGGCGCAGAGGACGAGTTGGAGATCAGGGTTGGTGCTTCTGCATTTTATGCATCTGTGGCTGTGAAGCAGGGGAAGGGGCCAGGACAGGAACAGGTAGCTAAGAACAAGGGCTCAAGGATTATAAACTGTAACTGTAAATCAGCACCGAGATAGCTGAGCTTTGCACTGGGCTCTACAAGGTTTTTGGTCAGAGAATATTGTCGCCAAGTACCTGCTACAAGAGCGTGGCAACGTGAGGAGCCCGCCCCGCCCCAACCGCAGAGAGAAGGTGCTGGAGGTCTGCAGGCTGCAGAGGCAGCTGGTGAGCACAGAGCCAAGGCACCAGGAGTAAGAGCTGTGGGCAGGAGTGCTCCAGACAGAACCCTGGACAGGGGAGCTGGCTGCCAGCCCAGGCTCTAGCACTGACCTCACCTGCAGAAAGGACGGAGCAGGGCGGGCTGGTCTTTGCTCTCACGTATCTTGCACAGGAAAGGAAGACCTGAGACAGTTCCAGACGAGGAGGGAGAAGGGGATTTTACAGGGCCAGTCGGTGCAACCTCCCCAGGCTGGCTGGGGGTCCGTGCCCAGGGGGACACCCCTCTGGAGCTACCCTGGGATTCTTCTGGGGTACTTCCTGATGGCAGTTACCGTACAGCTGTGCCTGGAGCTGTGATCTCCTCCAACAATTGTTCTACTTCTATTTTTTTGTGATGCTGGGATCCAGCCCAGGACCCCACACATGCCAGGCCAGGGGTCTACCCCGAAGCTGCACCCCAGCCATGGTCTCCCTCATTCCATGCCATTTAATCTCTACCACAACCTGTGGGGTAAGCAAGGTGACACTAAAATCCACACTATGCAGACAGGAAGCAGAAGTTCAGAGAGGTGAACTCACTTGCCCAAGGTGCCAGGGCCAACATGGCAGAGATGGAGCCCGAGGTCAGGACTGGGTGCAGCCCCGCCCTCCTCTCTTCCTCCTCCTGGATCTGGCGACCACACAGGGAACATGATGGCCTAGGAGTGGCCTCTGCGGCCTGAGAAACAAGGACGCGAGTCCTCCCCTCGGCCTCCTTTACCTGTTCCCACCCTTCTCTCTGGTCAAAGGCCAATGACAACCTCAAGCTCTCCAAACCCTTCTCTGCTCCTCACTAGGACCCAGGCGTATTCTCAGCCCCAGAGGCTCCTAAGGGAATGGCGTGAATCCTTCAGCCAAGCCCAGGAATCATTCCTGTGGCTCAGCCAGCCCCAGCTAGGGGACAGCCACCCAGTCGGCAGAATTCTCTGCCTTACTGCAAATGGTGACAGGGTCCGGGATGACATGAACATGGCCTTGGAAGAAAGACCCACCTCAACTAGAGCCCAAGCCAGGAATGCCCAGAGGGGGCTGGGGCAGCCCAGAGCAGCTGCTGGCCCTGGGTGGCCTTGGGTGGCCTTGGGTGGCCCTGGGTGTACCTGACCGGGCCTCCCTCTGGGCACTGCCCTTCCTCCTGGAATCAGGTTTCAGACCTCTGCGACCAAGCCCCACCTTCACTGGACAGACAGACAACCAGGACCTACACTGAGGGGCTATCGAAGGTCTCATGCAGCCAGTCCACCTCACACCTGCCCTACTACACCACCCCAATGTCACAGCAGCCTGGCATTCCCACAGTCAGCACCCCTCGATTCCCAAGAACACTGCAAGGTGACCTGACCATACACAGTGGTCACAGGGGTAGAAAAAAACTGTCTATCAGCAGGAGGGACAGGAGGGACCTGAAGACCCCAGTCCCTAAAGAAACCAGCCCTGCACCCCACTCAGCTTTGCAGTGAGACCAAGCCTGCAGAGGGAAGGGGCGGCCATTCCCTGTGGCCACTCCCAGAGCCTCTTTACCCACGGGAACCTGAGCCCACCTGGTATGGACTCAGGCCTGGGTGGGTCTTAGGTCTGGCTCTAGTCCTTGCCCTCAACTGCCTCTGTGGCCTCGGGCAGGCTGTCCAGCCTCTCTGGGATCCTGCTGTGAGGACTAGCCCAGGCTCCCTTCCAGCACTAAGATTCCATCACCCACCCATTCAGACACTGGGTGACCACCACAGCCAGGCACCAAGGTGACCACCAGCAAGGAGAAAGGTACCGTGCCTGCTCTCCAGAGAGATCTACGATATAGCCACAAAAGTAGTTCATTCCCATCCACCCCAGAGGGTGTGAGCCCCAGTAAACCATCCCAGAAGATGGCTTGGAAACAGGGAAGGGGGACAGTCTCCCCCTAAGAAGAAAAGATCTGGCCTGGAGCATCTTTCTGGGAAAAAAATCAGCATCCAGTTTCATTTCCTGGGCCTGGGGGAGGAGCAGCTGGGGGAAGAGCAGGAGGAAGCACAAGGAAGCACAGAGAAAGGTGGGCCAGAACCTCAGCCAGGCTAGTGGCCTGCATGCTGGGAACACCCTGCCCCGCAAAGCTCCCCACTGGCCTGAAATGCGACCACCACCAGTGATTCAATCTTGCCCAAATTATAAGGGGGTGGGAACGCATTCTAGGAGACCTCCTTGAGGCTAGGGCCAGGATACATGAGAGAGGCTGGTGAATGTCCTCAAGATAGCAGCCAGGAGAACCCAGCTTCCTCCAGTGAGGGGACATGCTAGGGAGAGGGGCGGGGCGAGACCCTGACGCCCCTGCTCTACCCCCAGTTCAATGCCCCCTTTGACATGGCAATCAAGCTGTTTGGGGCTCAGTACCAGCAGCACAGCCGGGCCCTGAGGAAGTTTCTTCAGGACATCCTTTGGGAAGAGGCCAAAGGTGAGTCTTTTCCTGGGTCAGGTTAATCCCTTTGCCTTGAAATCCTAAATGGGAGCTGAGCCCACCAGAGCCTGCTTGCTGGGTGACACAAGACACCTCCTTCCCCAACTCTGCCCCTCCAACAGCTTCCCCAAATCCCTGCAGGAAGCAGCCAGGCTGGTCCTGGAGAGCCACACGGAGTGGAGTGAGCTTTTCAAAGCCTTTGTCAAAGAACACCATGTTGCAAGCACTGGCACCTTAGCCAGCTCTGGGGCCCAGGGGAGCCTTGACTCCTTAAAGTGGCTCCAGATCCCATCATGAATACATATGGCCACCTGGCATGACAGCACCTTGCCCATGTAACTTCACATCACATGGGAATTGGGGCCACAGCTGCCTTCAGAAGAGGCTCCACAGCCAGATACGCAAAGGATTCTGGATTCATTCTGAATCCCCAAGTATCTGGTAAAAGACCCCAGCTTGTCCCTGAGGGGGCAGAGCACCAGCCTCTGGAGGTGCACATGACAATCTGCCACACTCCTTCCTCACAAACATGCACCCCAATGTGATGCAGGCTGGGGGTGCTCACCCTGCTGCACAGACCAGAATCACACTCCACACTCCAACACCACCTCCCAACTCCAAGGACAATGTCCCCATCCCCGTCACCACATCACCTCCCCCATCACACTGTGGAAGGCCAGCAGGAGGGTAGCCTGGAGTTGTGACCCAACCTCTTGCTTTTCAGAGGCCCTGGCTGACCAGTGACCACCTCCAAGATGGGCCTGCTCTTAGCTTTCCTCCCAATCTGGCATTCAGATTGCTTCTGCACGACCCCCAGTCCTCCTGTACTAGGTTTGAGTGAATAAAACCTCACACTTTCACTTATGCCAAATGTTCAAAAGGAGGATTTATTTCACACCAAAAAAAAGAAAGAAAATTTCATGTTTTATTAAAAAAAAAAAAAAAAATCTTAGTCCACGGTCAATGGGAAGAGAAAAGAACACACCAACGCCCAGAAACCCAAATTAAACCTGCCTGTTCAAGCAGGTCAAGTGGAGGAGTGTGTGACGGGGTCCTGGAAGAGGAGGAGCAGGGGGAAGAGGGGGACAGGGCCTTGCGCCTCCACACGAGCGCCCCCTCAAGGCTTCAAAGCTGCACTGGAGCTGATCGGCAACCAGCAATATCTGTTATGAACACACAAGCCTTAGGTGACAGAGGAGTCGACTCACATTCCAGATCAGTCACAGGGCGATTAAAATAGGACCATGAGAAAGTTCCAGAATAAACCTGAAGTTAGATATCAAGGAGGTGCTTAACAACGCCTCTCAGGCCTGCCAGACGGGGCTACATGGACCTCCCCTCCTTCCTCCCCATGCTTGGACCAAGATCTGGGCATGGCTGGCCATCACCTGGCTTATGTTACTGGCACCAGGTAGCTACCACCAAACACTGCCCCAAGTCCAGCTCACAGAAGAGATGAGCCCTGACCCTTTGATCCCACCTCTGAATTCCACTCAAGAACCTACTCTCCCCAGGAAGAACGTCACCGTCAGTCACGTGCACATTCATGACCGTCTGAGAGCCAATTTCCTAGTGCTGGCAACAATAAATGGGCCACATGAGGGGGAGCCCAAAGATAAGCCCCTTCCAAACTCCCAATGCAGACAAATGAGCCCCAGGGCACTCTGCAGATACCAGATGGGGGTGACATGCACACCCTGGAAAACTTTTATGACAGAGGGCTTAGGGGCCACGTTCTGCTCCAGGAACACTCCGGCCACCCCACAGCCAATGCCATGGCCACTGGCCAGACAGGGCAGACCCTCAATCTGCAATCCAACTGCCACCCCTGCAGAGGAACCATGTGGTCCGTGCGTCCTTATCCCTCCTATCTGGAAAGACCCAGGAACCTGGGGCTCCAGCACCTCCAGCACCTCCACCACCTCCCAGCCCTTCCAAGTGCTGACACAACACAGCCTAGAGGCACGCGGATCCTGTCCCTGCACCTTAGCCCAGCACAGCGCCAGGTGGCCTGCACACAGGACAAGGCCAGGAACACACCAAAAAAGGTGTCCTGTTTCCATTCCCCCATCTCTCCTGCCCCAGTCCTGTGGTCAACCCCATCTGTCCCATAGGCATACGTATACCCTCCCATCTCCAGGACAAGTACCTAGGTGCCTGACCAGGTGACAATCAGTGGCTTCCTTGCTCCCAAAAGCATCTGTCTCAGCCTCAGTAACAATCACGAGGCTGGGGGTAGTTGAAGGGACTAGGCAGTCAGTGAGGTGGCAAGAGGGCAGGAAGAAGCTGGAAGTGGAGGGAAGGGCCTCACCTACTCCGAGGGCACCTGAACACTGACGCAGAGACCCACACACTAAGCCAGACAGCCCCGGATCTTGCCCACAGCCCTCCCTGATGTGGCCCCAGTATGGTCCAAGCAGCCCAGGAAATCAACTGACCTGGTGAAAAACCACACAGTGACTGGGCTTGGATGAGGATGGGGGTGGGGACCTGGCCCTGGAAGGACTCCTGGTCACCTGATGCTCCCCTGCCCCCTGCAAAGGCAAGACCTTGCCTATGCCTCCCCCACATGCAGCTCACTCAATGGAGCAGCGACACCCAGACTTGGGCTTCTCGGCAAGGCCAGGAGGCCCCAGGTGGTGCAAAGCTGGGGGCTTTGGACTCAGCCAGAACAGAAGGACCAGCCCCAAGATCCAGACCCACACACTGAACACCACAGGGTACCTGGCAAAGGCTCAGGCACAGAGGAGGCACTCAGTGACCCCAGCAGCCACCACTGACTTGCCCTGCCCTGCGCCAGGCACCTCTCTCACGACTGCGCACATCAGCGTGATCTCAGTTCACCTTCACAGCTAGCCTCTTTGGTTAGGAGAAACTGAAAGTTTGGAGAACACAGTGATCTTCCCAAGGCCACACAGCACCTACAGCAGCCTCTCAGGTGCAAGTTCCTCCCATCTGACTCCTCCAACTCCCAGTCAGCATTGCTTCCTGGCCCTGCTGCTGGTATCACTCTAACCCTGTTCCTTTCCTGTTCCTATGTTAGTTTTCTTAACACACCTCATGGGATTTTTTTTTTTTTTTTTTTTTTTGGTACTGAGAATTGAACCCAGGGGTGCTCTACCACTGAGCCTCACCTCCAGCCCTTTTTTAAAATTCTGAGACAATGACTAAGTTACTGAGGCTAGCCTCGAACTTCAGATCCTCCTTCCCCAGCATCCAGAGTCACTGAGATTACAGGTGTGCACCACCATGCCCAGCTCTTCATGCATTATTTAATGATACCATCAACTTAAGGGTCTCTGAAGTGGGGTGTAAGTACCCCTAGGGTGGGCAAGACTATGTGCTCAAGAAAAAAAAATATCCATGTGAAAAAATTTCTTGTCAGGTGTGGTAGTACATGCCTGTAATCCCAGCAAGTGGGGAGGCTGATGCAGGAGGATGGCAAGTACAAAGCCAGCCTCAGCAACTCAGCGAGACACTGTCTGAAAATAAAAAATAAAAAGAGCTGGGAAAGTGGGGTTGAGGTTAAGCACCCCTGGGTTCAATCCCCAGTAGGAAAAAAAAAATGTTTCTTGTTTTGTAATCAGTACAACAGGGCACATATTCAACTTACCACACACTGAGAGGTGTGCGCTCACTCTCCCATGACCATGCACCAACAGAAGAGGTGAGGCGCCCACACTAGGCAACGTTCCTGAACCCACACCCTCTTTAAACCACACTGAGGAGCACTGACAGGGACAGTGGGGCTGCTGTTCTATTGCTCCAACCCCTTGGCCATTCGTCCTTATTTAATACAAATAAATGATGCGAGGGGCTGGGGTTGTAGCTCAGTGGTAGAGTGCCTGCCTCGCACGTGTGAGGCACTGGGTTCGATCCTCAGCACCACATAAAAATAAATATATTGTGGAAAAAAATAAAAAATAAATGATGCGAAAAAAAACAAAGTGCCTACAGTAAATGATCAGCATCAACCCTAAACTCACCCCATAAAGGAAGATGGACACACCAGGAGAGCCCCAGGCAGAACAGCACTGAGCAGACAGCTGAACGTGTCTGACCGGGAAGGAACAGATTCAAAGTCACAGAACATGCTAGAAACACATTATGGACAATGTGTGAGGTGCGGCTAGAGCACGGGCCCAGCCTCCCTGGAGCACTGTTGGGGAGCCTTCCTCTGCACGAGTAGCCTTCCCTCCTAGCCACGAGCTGTGTCCAGGAGCACCAGGAACAGGGGTTGGGGTGCAGCTCCAGGCACAGCGCCAGGCCCTGGGCCGGTCCCAGCACCCAAACAACAAGGCCCACAAGCAACACCTTCATCTAACTGCCTGCCAACAGTGAAAGAGAAGTTCCTCCAGCTTTCCACCAAAAGCACTGGAGAGACCACCCCATCACACCCCCGTCCTGGAGTTTCCCTCCTCCACTGCTCTCCTTCAAGTAGGGAATGTCACCTATGTCCTCTGCACTGCTAGGAAGCCACAGCACATCCATGTTTCTAGGCAGCACTCTAGGAAGGTACAACCTGTTCTCACATCCGGTTTAATTTTACAGCGAGGCACGCAGACTTGGAATGTCTCCCAACATCAGATGCCCAGGTCACAAAGCCGGCCAACTCTGGGCTAACCTCTGCATCACTCACAGAACTCTGGACAGACATGGACACACGGGACTTGGAGAGAGGATCCGCTACTTTATTCCAGAGAGAAATGGCGAAGTGGGGGAGAGGCACAGAGGCACCCTGGCAGCGAGTAAGAGCCATCAAGCCAGCCATCCACCAACAGAACCTAACACAAGGCCAAACCGCCGCCAGCCCCACCAAGGTAAGGTCTCACCGTGTGACCCGCATACACAACAGTCCTAAGTCCTGGGAGAAAGCGGGCAGACAGCACCCTGTGCTCTTCCTCGGCAGGGGACTGACCTCAGAGACATCACGCAGTCCGCCTCACAAGCAGGCAGTGCTGACTTACAGGGGTTGTCCTTGAAGGACGTGGCTATGCTGCTGTTCACCTGGGTGATAGTAAAGCATTCTGATAGACTTGGCAGCTTCCTAAATATTTCCAACAAGCGACTGAGGCCCCCAATTTCCCCATACTGGCAACTTTGAGGCACAAAAACACCGAGGAGATGGACGGACACCGAGGCCTGCTTCCCAGGCCAGTTACTGGGTTGCAGGGGCACGGTACACATTGCACAAAGGAAATAGTAAATCCATCCCCTTCAGCTTACAGGTTCAGATGTGCCTTCGAGAAATACCTAGAGGAATCCACAGTAAGAGACTGCTTGTACGATGTAAGCTTCCAATAAACTGCAGATAAGGGTGAGGACCCTTTTGAACAAAGCTCAGGAGTCCACTCACACTTGACCTCTGGCCATCGTAACCTCTGGGGCCTGTGAGGCACACACCTTTCCAAGGCACAGCAGAGAGCAGAGCAGAGCTCTGAACTTGAGATGACTCGGCTGCTCCAAGTCCAAGGGGAGGCCCTCTCCTAAAACACACACAGAGCAGAGATGGCAAAGGCAAGGGACACCAGGAGAGACACAGGCCTGCTCATGCTGCACCACCCCAGGGAGCCCCGAGAACTCTGAATTCAGCTGTCCACCTGGGTGAGCCCTCAAAGGGTAACTGTGTGGCCAAGCAATCCAGAGAGAGCAGGGGCAGCTGGTCCCCTAGCACCCAGTTGGCAGGGACCTCATGCTGCAGACTCAACCCTAACCCTTTACCACACCAAGCAGGAGCCCTGGGGCTTCTGTAAGTGGGGACACCTTCCTCAGTGCCCCAGTCTGTCCTGCACCTCCGCCAGCCGGCACTTCCCAAGGACAACGAGCACCCACTGCATCCCTCCATACTTGTATGGTGGAACCAGAGCGCGGCGACAATCCTCCCACTTATGCCCACACTGGAGTCGACAAGGGAACAGTGACAGGCAAATGCGAGAGCTATCCAGGGAAGGGTGCAGCCTCGCTGGTTCCCAGAAACAAACCTCGGAGCAGTAAGTTTTCCCAAGACATTTCCCACAAGGGAGTCCATTTCCATAACTGAGAAGCAGGAGCCCAGCTGCACGCCCACGTGTGCTGGGGCGAGCAGGAGGAGACTTTATTCACACACTGCTTAAAACACAGGCTGCAGGGAACAGAGACTCGGACTGGCACACTCTAGACCCTCGGTCATACTCTGCTCTTGCTGACTGCCCTGGAGCACCCTGGCTGGCAGGCAGAGCCCAGATGCTGTTCCCGCAGCACCTACCCTCCGCGGCCACCCGTCCACCAGCCAGAAGCTGAAGCCTTGAGGCGAGGTCGCGAGCAGACAGCCTGTCCTGGTTCCCTCTGTCCCAGTGGGCTCTGCAGACACATCCTTGACCCAGGACACAGGTGGGGCTGGAGGGCAGCCTATGTTCTGAGGGACCACTGGTCGCCCTGCAGGGTCTGGAAGAGAGAAGGAAGATGGTTCCAGGCCAAGTTCATTAAGCACAAGTCAGGCATCAAGCTCACGTGTTCACATTGTCTAGGTTAAGATAAGGCAGCCAAAGACCTTCTTCTCCTGATTTTTACAGAGCACATCATGTGAATCTCATGACCTTTCCTGGGCGACTCCTGAGGGCACCCTCCTTGCTCAGAGGTTGTAGAGGCGGCTGGTGTTCTCACGCAAGGTGGCCAGTGTGCGGGAGAGCGGCTCGTCTTTGACCCTGGCAATCTCTCGGACCGTGTGCAGGGCTAGGCCCGGGTGGGCATACTGGCAAAGGCTCTTGGGAACCTGGAAGACACCAAACATTCAGAACATCGCTGTGCTTTCTGTGCACAGCCGGAACGCAGGACTCCCTCCCATCCCTTCCCCAGCAAGGACCTCTTCGGGGCTGCCCTGCAGAGACCCCTTTACCTGCAGGTGCAGGGAGAGTCCTAGTCAGGGGGGCTCTGGGTGAGCAGGGTCCCACGCTTCCGTGGACTGCCCTCTACAGGGTAGGGCTTTGCACTGCCTGGAAGAGAGCGGTTACCCTTCAGCTTCTCAGCCCCCTTGACTTTCGGTTCTGCAGAGCAACAAGGAAACATCTACACAGCCCAGGGTGGGGCCTGGAAGTCACTGGGGCTCTGGCCCTGCCAACCCTAACGGATGACCACCACCCTCCCCACCCTCTCTCTTCAGTGCCTCGACTCAGCCTGAAGACACCCCTACCTGGCGAGGCAGGAAGTAAGGGGCATCCGTTTCCACAATGATTCTCTCCAGTGGAATCTGTTTCAGAGCATCCCGGGCCTCCCAGGCGGAGGAGTAGGTCAGGACTGCCGTGAAGCCCACCGACATGTTGGGAAAGTACTTCAACAGGGGCTCAATAACCGGGTAGCTGCCGGTGAAGCAATGCCTGTGGGGAGAGCTCTAGGTCAGGGCTTGCCCCCAGTGCCCTCAGCAGCAACCCTAAAGCTGGTCACCCCCTTTAGAAGTCCCAGAAATGGAGAGGCTGCATCCAAGGGAAGAATGCCACAGTAAGTATACACACAAGAGGGGGTTCAAACACCACCAGACCCAAGCTGGCACTGGGGGAGCGGTGCTCACGAGCCCCTCTCCTACTGCACAACACGATACAGCCACTTAAAATCACCACTGTGAACAACACACAGCAGCAGCACAAAGGAACCTAAAGAATTAAAACCAGTCCTCCCAAGTACGTAACAGTGAGGCCTACGCAGTCAGATGCGTCGGGAAAAAATGAACACACTGGAGAATGGGCCATAGGTGAATTTTCTTCTCTAAACATGCAGCTGTTTAATGCTCCTAGTGCAACATACGCAGTTACCCCATGTAAAAATTCAGGGCTTCCTCCAGCAACACCCTGTTGGGCTGAATTAGCCCTGATGTGCCTACCACCACTCACATTCCCTTAAAGTCAGCCCAAAAAGAGGCAATGAAAATCCAACCAGCCCATAAGAGCTGAGGGCCTATGTCCTTCTTCTGGGGTGCGCCACCTGCTCTGTCTCCTTAGGCACCGAAAAGGCAGCAGCAGAGGCCTGAAATTCCCACCTGCTCTTCTGCTTTGAGAAGGCCTCTTCTGGGCTCTGGACTCCCTTCTCGCCCATCATTAAGAAGTCAGCTCAGAGGCAGTAGGATCTAGGTTCAAAGCCAACCTCAGCAACTAAGCAAAACTCTAAGCAACTCAGCTAGACTGTGCCTCAGAATAAAATTAAAGAAAAGTGCTGGGGACGTGGTTTAGTGGTTAAGTACCTCTGGATGAATCACAAGTACAAAAAAAAAAAAAAAACAGCTCAGGCGTCACCTCCTAACCCATCCCATCCATGGCAAAATAAAGGCCCAACTGTGCACAGCCCAGCTCAGTCCACACTCAACATACACAAAAGCCCGAAGTGACCCAGGTGTATCTGGGCAGCTCTCCTGGGGCATCCCTGAGCCAGGCCACCACTGGCACACACAGGTGGTAGGAGTTCAAGGCAGCTTACCAAACTGAGCTGAAGAACTTAAAGATGCCATTCAGATAAAACACACCTTGGACTTTAATGCTAACTGTGGGGGGAGGAGTTTTCAAATTCAAAACAGGAAAGAAGTATCTTTTCTGGTGCCCCAGAGTGCCATGTGCTGGACCCCACCACAGCCTCTCCTGGGGTCAGTGGTCCTCGTTTCTGAAAACTGAAATCCCCTTTCTGCCCACTGGCAGTTTCTGGGTATTAGCCCAAACCAAAGGCCAAATGAAGTCACTGTGAGCAAAAAACAGGTAAGTTTCTCAATCCTCAGAAGTTTCACATGGTTCAACTTAATACTTGACTCCTCAGAAAACACGCTGAATAAGACATAATATGGGTTCAGATCCCAAAGGGGCCTCAAAAAGAGAGAAGAAAAGACACACGACCACTGTGTTCCTCATTGAGCTCTCCTCTTTCCAACTAATGTCCCAGACAGGGAAGAGCCTCATGTCCCGCTGAAGCAGCAGCCTCCTGACCTATGGATCTTGTAGTCAGAGGGTACAAATTTTTTCATGATGTCCAACAGATCTTCATCAGCTTCTCGACAGTGAATGACCAAGGGCTTCTTTAGAGACACGGCCAGCTGCAGCTGTCTCTCAAATACCTGGGAGGAGACAAAGGGACAAACACCGGCGGCTTAGTGGCACTTCAGAGCCCACTGCCTCTTGAACCCCTGTGGTCCCCAATTCTCTATTTTCAAATGATATAACAGAGTGACAATCAGACACGTACTGGGTTTTTTCTATAGAGCTGGGGAGTGCTCCAAGCACCTGCAGTATACACAAGCTCCTACAGGAGGGGCTGCAGGAGCCCAGCAGGTGGGGAAGGCAAGTGACAGGCAGCTAGAAGCTGTAGTGCCAGAGTGCCAACAGGGAAGCAGGTGCCCAGTCACTGCTCACAAGGCTTACTTAGGATATAGTAGCAAGACAGGGATGGAGAACATAAAGGGCAAAGTTAATGTCCTGCACATGGCTGTGCCCACCTCTACTACCAAGAAGGTACCAACTTTCAAACCTTTCCCTATGCAAAAGGGCTGTACACTCACGTGCCCTCCAGCACAATGCCTGGTGGTTCTCAAAGAAATAAACACTATTTACTACAGCTTGCCTCCTTTGGTTGACCCAAGCTGGATACCCTTCTAGGTCAATACCTACACAGCCCTCCCATTCTTTTTTTCTTTTTTTTTTTTTTGGGGGGGGGGAGGTAACTGGGAATTGAACTCAGGGGCACTCAACCACTGAGCCACATCACCAGTCTTTTCTTGTATTTTACTTAGAGACAGGGTCTCACTGAGTTGCTTAATGCCTCGCCATTACTGAGGCTGACTTTGAACTCGGCAATCCTCCTGCCTCAGCCTCCTGAGCCACTGTGATTACGGGCATGCGTCATCTTGCCCAGCCACTCCATTCTTTTTAATTCTAGCCACTTTTAAATCCTTGCTAGTAAAATGCACACGTTGTTGACAATGTAATGTTCTGTCCTGTAACAAGGCCAGGTTAAGAACCAAGTATTAATTATGAGCAAATTATCACCTCTGAAACCTAATGCATCCATGAGCAGTTTTTTCAACTGTAGAATATAATTCATGTTTGCATTTTTAGCAGCGAATACGAAGACATTTTTGGTAACAAGTGATATCGACCAGAAAATGACATTTACAAGTCTAATTTTCATGTCACCTCTTCCTACAATAGTGACACTAGCCAATACTAACTCTGATGCACCTTTAAGTTTGACCTGTGTTTTCAACTAAAGGAAAATGACCACAGACACCAAATTATAGAATGCTCAGTAGGGGTTTTAAAGAGCAGGTAGCAACTACAGGTGGGGCTGGTGTCCCTTCCAGATACATTTGCTGCCTGTTCATCTGCCCCTCCCTGAACCCTCAGAGGCAGGTTTCAAAATACTCCAATTCCACCTTCTACTTGATGTCTCTAAAAAACTATAACCTTGCAGTGGAACATTGCATAGCTATCAAAAAGCATATTTTTCAAAGTATAGTTAAATGAAATGGCAAAACTTTTAAAACTAGAAATTCAAAACTATTCTGCCGCAGTCTGGCTGGGCACAAAATAACCGAGCCACCACGAGGCACTTGTAAGGTTCAAACAGGAACTCCTTTATTGCCCGAACTCCACCAGCACTCCACGCACACTTCCCGGGAACTCTCCCCGCTCTCCACTGGGCTCTGCCCTCTCTCTCCCGGGAGAACTCAACGGGAACTTCAAAGTGGCGGGCGCCTGAGGTAGCAGGAGCCACCCTATTCCCCAGCCACCCTATTGCCAGACAGCAGGGGTCCATATACAACTCAGTACACAGCCTGTCCCAATCCAGCATCATCCAGTCACAGCAATTATAATTTAATTATCATCATCTTAATGGCTCACTGGCGTCACCTCTTAACCACTCCTTCTGGCGCCATCCCAACTCGGCTGTGGCTCTCAGCACTATTCCCTTTGTAATTTCCTTTTTTTAAAAAGCATATATATGTGCCAGGTGCAGTGACACACACCTGTACTCTCAGCAGCTCAGGAGGTTCAGGCAGGAGGATCATGAGGTCAAAGCCAGCAACTTAGAGAGGCTTTATCTCTAAATAAAATATAAAAAGGGCTGGGAATGCAGCTCAGTGGTTAAGCATCCCTGGGTTCCATCCCCAGTACAAAAAAAAAGCACATTATATATAATACACATTTCCTTGATTTTTAATAGGTAATTTTAAGACAAGCCACCACTGTCCCTTGCAACTTTCCAAGGGAAATAACATTAAATGTGTAATGTTTCATGAAATATTCAAATTTTGCCCAGTATAATCCCAGCAACTCAAAAGGCAGAGGCAAGAGGATCACAAGTTTGAGGCCAGCCCCAGCAACTTTGTGAGACCCTGTCTCAAAATAAAAAGGGCTGAGGTTGTGGCTCAGAAGGAAAGTGCTCACCTACCATGCGTGAGGCACTGGGTTCGATCCTCAGCACCACATAAAAATATTGTGTTCGCCCATAACTAAAAAAAAATTTTAAAAAGGGGGGGGCTGGGGATATAGATTAGCGGTAAAGAGCCCCTGGGTTCAAACCCCAGTACCAAAAAAAAAAAAAAATCCAAATACATTAAAAAATGGAGGAAGCTTTCTCTAGCATACAGGAACTTGTGGCTGGAGATATTTTACAAGCATTTGTCCTCATCAGGTGACAAAGAAGAGTGAATGAAAGGCAGGTAAATTATTTACCCAGCATAATTACTTCCCTGGCCTGCATGAACTCTGCTTCCCAACTGAGCCATTATTTCCAGGGATGGAGAGTTAACCCATCTCTCTTGGGGGAAGCCTCAGGCACTGTTTGCACACTTGCTACCTCCACAATTAATTCCAGTCCAGCACAAATGGAGGCAGGCGAATCTGGGTAGGGGAAGGAAGCTCCGTTCTGGCTTTTGAACCAAAGAATTCTATTGTCTGATGTGTGCAACTTACAAGTTAGACACCAACTGTCAGAGATCTACCTTTGAAGGGTTAGATAGCTAAATGTGGGAATACAACACAAGGAAAAAGTAGTAGTTAGCTCTGGTTAACAGCATAACTACCCATTTTATCTCCAATTCTTTAGCATTCCTCTCTCCCCCCTACTCCTTCCAGAAAATATTAGATAACGGAAATCAATTGTTTTTTTGTTTATTGCTATTGTTTTTTTGGTTCTGGGGATTAAACCTAGGGTGCTCTACCACTGAGCTTCACCCCCAGTCCTCTTTATTTTTTGAGACAGGGTCTTGCTCTATTGCTGAGGCTGGCCTTGAACTTGTGATCTTCCTGCCTCAGCTTCCTACTTACTGGGATCATAGGCACACACCACCACATTTGCTGATCCTTATAATTAAAAAAAAAAAAAAAAAAGTACTGTGTAATATTTCTCACATTTCCTGGCACCAAGTTAGCATCCACTGAGCATCAGCTATACTATTCAGTATAATACTCCTCTGTGTTTCTGCTTGAACTGCTGCTCTTTCCATACCATCCCCACCCTGCACCATAAACACCAGTTGTGAAAGCAGAATATTAAACATTTGTTTCATTTTCCTAAAAATCTATTTTCCCCTGTGTTCAACCTTAGCTGTTTTAGTCTTCACTTCTGGCTAATAAATTACACTTCGAGCCAGATGTGACAGCACTGAAGGAGAAGCGGGCGAGTCAAATTCTGCACAGGGAGACCTTCCACTCCAGTCCTGGAGCCTACTGGGATCCAGACCAACCCAGCAAGCCTCTATACAATCCCAGGAGAGTGACACTTTCCAGCTACAAACTCCACCTGGGGCACCAGGTAGGACAAGGGGAGACAGTCTTTCTCCTCCCCAATCAGAAACTTCCACTGAAATGCTGCAAGGAGTCTTACCCTCACAACGCCATGCTCAAAAAGTACTGGGCGGAAAAGAAAGACCAGATGGCAAGTCAAACTTTCAGGGTGAATGAGAATGATCTTTACACGTAATTTTTTGGCACTTTTCAAATATCCTGCAATGAACATATTTCACTTTAAAAAACAAAAACAAAACCCAAAGTTGGCTGCTTCCCAAGAAGGAAAGGTTCATGCTGCTGTTAGCCATGAGAAGTCGGAAGACACCCCTCCTCCCTGGTCCCCAAGCATGCTGGTGAGCTGGGGCGCAGCTCGGTGCCTAGATTCCATCCCCACTTCCACAAAACGAGAGAGACAAAAATGGCTGAAAGATAAGAAATGGCTTGTAAAGTATTTGACAAATGACATCCACAGATCTGGACAGGAATTATAAATTCGTTAGTTCTAGAAATAGAGAAACCTCACTGTTAGGTCTCAACAGCTAAAGGGATAAAGACATAAACATAAAAAGTGACCCGACAGTCTGGTTACCTTGTGCTGCTCTGGGACAGGCGTAGTACACTTGTAAGAGTAATCCAAGCCCATTTCCCCGAAGGCCACAGCCTTGGGGTGCCTCAAGGCCTGCAAAAGATTTCTCTCTTGACTTTCACTATAGTAACGTGCAAAATGGGGGTGACAGCCAAAGGCCCCCCAGACCAGGTCCTCCTTCAACAGCTCCTCCCACAGGCAGTCCGTCAGTGTCCGAGGGTCACAGAAGTCAGAGATGCAACCCTGGAATTCCTTGGGGAAGGAGCTGCTATAAATCTTTCTGAACTTTGTAAAGGTCCCCTTGAAAGACAACTTGGAGTACAGCATATCCAAGTGACAGTGAGTGTCTATGAAGCCCTCCTCCAGGCTGGACTCCCAGTGGCTCCGTGGCAGAGAGCCAGATGCCTGACCGCCACAGGGACGAGGTGGAGACTCCTCTCGGAATGTTCTTTTCTCCTTCACTTCTTCTATGGAGCTTCTGGAGAAACGCAGGGAACGGGAATTCTGGGATCTGCCTTCATCAGCGGCCTCCAGGTCTCTGGAGGTGCTCTGGGAGCTCACTGTGGAGGTGGGGGGATAATCACTTAGGAGGCCGTGGCTGCTTGTCCCAACCTGTGCCGTGGGCGTGTCCTGGCTGCTGCCCACAGAGGCATGGCCAGGAGTCTTGAGGCTGCTGGCCCAGTAACTGGCATAGTCACGCCAAGGACTACTGTACAAATGAGGGGGGTACATGACATAATCAGTGGGGAAGGAAGAAGGCTCTGGAACCGCGGAGTACTTCAGCGAGATGGGCTCCTCCTGAGAGAATCTGACCGTGGAGACCTCATCCACATCAGACCAGTCGCTTCCTGAAGAGGGGTGCTCAATCACCACCTCCCTCTCTTGATGCTGCAGAAAAGAAAAGAAACATTAGGTGAGATCCTCACCTAATTAGATGGGTGGAGCCCCCAAGATGGAGGAATGGCAGCTTAATGAGAAGGAAGAGACTGGAAGACACGGGCTACCTGTCTCTCACCACGTGGTGGTGATGCCCTGCCCTACCTTGGTCTCTGCCAGCAAGGCCATCGCCAGACATGGCCTCTTAATCTCAAGATCCGAACCAGAAGACTGAGCCAAAATAACCCTCTTTTCTTTTTAACTTAGGCTGTGACTCTGTGTTATTAGCAGCAGCAAACAGACTGATACACACAGGCACCAGAAGAACACCAACTCTGGCTCCTTTCTTGAGCCACACTGGAGGCCTTGCGATGGCTCTTCAGCTTACAACTTTCAGAAGTGGGCCAGGCGGCAGCTGTGACACACAGAAGGCTCAGGGAATAAACCCATGATCATGGTGTCATAATGCCACCCTGAAGGAGATGCTCCACCTGTGCTCCCTATTCTAATGATCCCTCTTGGGAACAGTGCTCTCCAGTACAGTGAGAAAGTAGTAATGCCGAAAAACAGCTCCAATACCTTTAAGATGCAAAACCACAACCACTGGAGCTAATATATACCCTCCAGTTATCTGACACTACCCCTCACTGGGAAACGGGTCTGTAACTCTCCCCTTGGGTTACTAGTGACTCACTTGCAACCACTAAAATGCAAAAGAGAAGTAGTGTACCTTCATGGGGGTCCCACCTTGCTCCTCAGCGAAGCTAGCACTGGGGAAAAATGATACAGAATTAAGACACTCTGCCAAAAAGCCTGCTATGTAGGTGTCAGCAGGTGGCCCACATGACAAGCCTGGGTGAGCCAGAGGACTGCAGCCCCCGCAACATGTGAAAGACACCCGCCGCCAGGTGAGACCTGCCCAATCCAGACTTTTCTTAATTCCTGACCCACAAAATTGAAAGCAAAATAAAACTCTATTGAAGCCACTAACCAGTGATAGTTACCTAAACAACCAAATCTTGCATTAAATCAATTTAGCCCTAATAGAACACAGGCTCTGCAAGGTCAGATGATATGCCCAGAACAGGGAATGCCCATAAATATCCACAGAACTAAACTGTAGAATAAATGGTGCAGTGGTTCCAGAGCTCAGCTTCACACCCCCACCAACAAAAGAGAATCTTTTTTTTTTTTTTGGCATTGCTAGGGATGGAACCCATCATGCATGCTAGGCAAGTGCTCTGCCACTGAGCGACCCGACCAGCCCAGAGGAGCATCTCAAAAACAGATTCTTAAAAACTCCACCCTGAGATACTGTGATTCAGTAGGTCCAGAGAGGGCAAAGGAGTCTATGTTTAATTCTCCAATAATTTTGATGTAGACAAGGCCTAGAGAAATGTACTAAAGCAAACAGATAAAAACTTATGCAAAAAATACTTTACTTCAGTGTCACAGTTTCTTGCTAATAAAGCCATCTACAATCCCAGCATCAGCTAGCTTGAGCAGGAGACCTTTTCTTTAGTGTTTCTATAAGTAAATATAACACATTAAAATAAATTCAGCTGTGCACAATGACACAGACCTGTAATCCAAGCTACTCAGGAGGCTGAGGCAAGAGAATCACAAGTTCAAGGCCAGCCTCAGCAACTCAGCAAGACAGTGTCTCAAAACAAAAAATAAAAAGGGCATGGAATGTAGCTCAGTATTAGAGCACCCCTGGATTCAATACCCAGCATTCTGGTAAAAAATAATAAATCACTACTAAAACAGCATTTCAGATAAATTGATTTAAAACAGAAAAACAAGCTTCTATTGTCTATACTAATTCTCCATATCTTTATCTATACTCCAAAAAATATATACTGGCAACAAAAATTAATGAATTATAAATTTCCCATTTTAAACTTGCCAGTTATATTTCTGCTACTGCTTTCTTGAGGAACAGAAATCTCAAAACTAGAATCTTTTCTAAAATGGAAGATGGGCTGGGGGTTTAGCTCTGTGGTAAAGCACATGCTTATTAGCATTCAAGAAGCCCTGGATGCAATCCTCAGCATTTAAAAAAAGGCAAGATAACTTAAATTGCAGCACGTTTAAAGTTTAAACCTATTTCCTAAAGGTGGGTGATGGATTCGTAGGGATTCAACACACTATTTTATTTACTTTGAATGTTTGACATTTCCCATAACAAGTTTTAAAAATTAAACTCCTACCTACAATCCCAGCTACTTGGGGAGGCTGAGACAGGAAGATCACAAAGCCCAGGCCAGCCTAGACAGTTTAGTAAGACACTGTCTCAAAATAAAACAAAACAAAATGAGCTGGGGTGTAGCTCAGTGGTATAGCGCTTGCCTAACATGTATAAGGCCCTGGTTCCAAGCACCACCAAAACAAAAAGCAAACTAAAAAAAAGTTTTAAAAATTAATCTATAGGGCTGGGGCTGTGACTCAGTGGTAGAGCGCTTACCTGGCATGTGTGAGGCACTGGGTTCGACCCTCAGCACCACATAAAAATATAATAAAGGTATTGTGTCCACCTATAACTCAGAAAAATACATATTTAAAAATTAATCTATAAGGGAAAACAATCCTTTGAAGACTAGGTTGCTTATAATGAAAAATTTCCATCAACCTAGATAATGAAACACTGCAATCTTGCCAAACTTGCTTAACAAGTTTTGGAGTATTATTTTGCTTTTCCTGAATGTTCCAGTAAGAGACACTGACACAATCACAGGAATTGTCACTCTACTTTAGCGCATGTACACCTAGGAGTTAAGTGTCTAGTGTGGGCTCACATAATTAGCATAACTGCAATCCAGCTCTTTATAGATACATCTATAGAGGCATATCTTGCCACTCTTAAATTGATTGTACTATTTATAAAATAATCAATATCTTAGAAATCTTCTTGTATATTAAGAAATATTCTATCTTTTTTTTTCCAACAACAAAAGTTAATGTGATTAGAATGACCAAAAATATAGAAGTTTCGTCAGATTTTGCCCTAAAATTCATTCTTCAAGAGAATAAGCCATGGGCTGGAGTTGTGTCTCAGAGGAAAACAAGATAGTGTTAGAAAGCTCCTTTTCACTAAATTCCTTCTGTTTTTGAACCACAGGCTGGGGGTGTAGCTCAGTGGTAGAGTACTTGCTCAGCATGCACACAGCTCTGGGTTCAGTCCCCAACACGAGAGAGAGAGAGAGAGAGAGAGAGAGAGAGAGAGAGAGAGAGAGAGAGAGAGAGAGGGGGGGGGGGGGAGGGAGAGAGAGAGAGAGAGAGAGAGAGAGAGAGAGAGAGAGAGACCTGAAAACCAGCTGGAGGTGCTGGTGTAATAATCCCAAAACAACTCCAGGAAGAAGGAAAAATCAGTGTGCCTGCAATGTGATGGGAACAGCTACAATACGAAGTAAAATTTCCAGGAACAGGACCATATGCAGATTCTAAAAATGCTACATCTCATCAGCAAGATCTCAGCTACAGGAAACTGCCTGGCAAATGACCCTGTTGTTTACAACAAACAAATCAGAACATTTTGGGACAGGGAAAAGGAAGAATCTAGAGACTAAGATTCTTGCCATATTTAGAAATTGCTACATATGGCTCTTATTTGGATCCTGTTTCAAATAAAATGGGATATTTAATCACTGACTGGGTAACTGATCATTCAAGGGGGGGGGAGAGAGGGGAGGGGGGGAGAGAGGGGAGGGGGAGAGGGGGGGGAGAGAGGGGAGGGGGAGGGGGGGGAGAGGAGGAGTGGGGGAGGGAGGGAGTGTGTGTGTGTGTTTCTGTATGATAAACCTACGAGGATGCTTTGGGTTTTTGTTTTGTTTTTTTTTTTTTTTTTTTTTAAAGATCCTTTACCTTTTAGAGATGCACACCAAAATATTTATGGATGAAAAGATATGAGATAGGATTTGCTTTAAAATACTTCGTGAAGAGAAAAGGGATACAGCAATGCAGGACTAGAGGGAGTTCTGCTGCAGATGAGCAGTGGGTGTGTAGCTGTATTTCATAAATGTTTTAAATTCTCCAGGAAAAGGTTTAAAAATGTAAGAGTTAATAAAATCAAATTCCAAGGAGGAAGGTGGGGAGGGAAAGGGGAAAATACTGGAAAATGACATTGGCCAAATTAGACTGTTACACTGTCAGCATGTAAGAATATATAACAACGAACCCCACTGTTATGTTCATAACATACCAACTTAAAAATGAAAAAAAAAAAAAATTGGGCATGGTGGCGCATGGGCATGGTGGCGCATGCCTGTAGTCCTAGCTATTCAGGAGGCAGAGGGAGGACTGCTTGGGCCCAGGAATTTAAGGCCAGCCTGGACAACATAGTGAGACCCTCTGTCAAAAAAGAGACTGAGGGTGTGGCTCAGTGATAAAGGGTTTGCCTAGCATGCACAAAGCCCTAGGTTCCATCCCACAAAATAAATGAAGAATAAAATTCCAATTCAGATGGAAGGGCAGATGGTGTCTTCTGACTGTACTCCAAACTTCCAAAACCAGGGTTCAGTATTTGTTTAAAACAAAGAAAGATTTCCAGGTCTCATCAATGACCTTCTGAGTCAGAATCTCTCATTCTCTCAGGGAAGTTCAGAAAAATCACATTAAGTAATTCAAAAAGTAACTCTAGTGACAACAAAGACACACGTCAAAGACATGTGAAAAGGTTTGATGAAGCTGTTTAAGGAAATGTAAAAGTAGGGAAAATGGCAGAATCAGAGGGAAAAGTGATTTCAAAACCGCACGTCTTGCCAGGTGCTGTGGTGCACACCTGTCATCCCAGCAGCTCGGGAGACTAAGGCAGTAGGATCACAAGTTCAAAGCCAGCTTCAGCAATGGCGAGGTGCTAATCAACTCAGTAAGATTCTGTCTCTAAACACAAAAATGAGACTGGGATGTGGCTCAGTGGTTGAGTGCCCCCCGCCAAAAAAAAAAACCACACATCTAACTAGAAGTATATATCACAAACTTACCATGTCATCTCTAAATCCCTGAAGGACTTACATAATCAAGTACACCAAGAAAAAGTATTTGGATTTGTGGGGAGGGGGAAAATAAGAGACTGTATTTAAGATGGCCTTAAATACTGTCTGTATTTAAGCCCATATGGCAATATTTATTAGGATAGTCAGGGCATTCATTTACAAGTTATCTTTATCTGTTCTCATGCAGCGCTAAAGAGCTACCACAGAGCTGTATAGCCCACAGAACCTAAAATATTTACTATATGATCCTTCAGGGAAAACTGACCCCTGTATTATTTTTAACTGTGATCAGATTTGAAGAACTATCCCTTTTGACAGAGGAAGAAACCGGGGCTCAAGAAGGGTGAGTGATTTTTCTCAGTATCACAATTCAGGCAGCAGGGCCAGGATCTGGACCCAAATGCTTTGATGCTATCCCAACATTCATGCATGTGTTAACCCACCCTATACCCAAGGGAGACAACCCAAGCACCCCATCAAACAAATAGAGGAGTGTGGATGTAACTTTGAAAATTTTCATTCATATGATTAGGTTTGTAGGCAACCAACAAGACAAAGATCTACAAGTCAGAAAACACAGCCACCATGTACATTTAATGGGGAAATTAGCTTATAAAACCTTCATATGGGATTTCCAATTATATGTAGCACGTGTGGTTTTTGTCCTTCCCACCCAAAAACCCTTCTAAAATCACAGGAAATGTATTTGAAAAGGCTTAATAAAGCTATATGGAGAAAGCATAAAGAGTAAACAGCAACTAAATAAAAATTGGATGCTAGATAGCAGACACGTGAATGGTTACTGGCTTAGCAAGCAGATCACAAATGGCCAAAACCTAAGAACACAGGGAGAAAATCCAGAAATAGACTACAGGACTCCAAGAAGATGAAGAAGGTACCAGACCTTCAAAATGAAGTAGAGATGGAGATCCCCCAGCTACCTGCTCCTCCCCAGGCAAATGTGCCTGCCTTTTCTCCATTCAACAAGAGAAGGTTCATACTTGGGAAAGGTGACTATGGAACAGCCAGGAACAACACATACCTGCTAGACAGCAAAACCCATGCATTGCCCTCGGCCTGACTCCCAGAACTCCAGAAGCCACATTGGGCCTCCAGGCCCTCCTGGCCCTCCTGGCAGACAGACAGACATCACAACAGAAGACAGAAACTGTGCTAGGCACAGCGGTGTTCACCTGTAACCCCACCCATCAGCAAGCTGAGGCAGGAGAACTGAAAATTAGAGGCCAACCTGGGCAAGCCAGCAAGACCCTGCCTCAAGATAACACACAAAAAAGGTCTGGGGATAAATGTAGCTCAATGGTAAAGCACCCTGGGTTCAATCCGAATACTGCAAAAAACAAGCACAGAAATGATGCCATGGAGAAGCTGCAGTGTGGGTGCTATTAAAGGAAGCAGAAAACTAAATTCTCATGGCCCTGTGGGGGACATCCACAGATTTCTAAAACTGAAAAAATCAGTAACAGCACAATTATTATTTAGAAATATGAGGCAACTCAAAAACACAGAGCTGGAAGAGCTGATAAGGGCTGTTATGGTTCAGATACGAGACACCCCCAAAAGCTTAGGTGTGAGACAATACAAGAAAGTTCAGAGGTGAAATGACTGGGTTAGGAGAACTTTATCAGTGAATTAACCCCAACAGGGATTAACTGGGTGGTGACTGAAGGCAGGTGGAGTGTGGCTGGAGGAGGTGGGTCACAGGGGCATGCCTATGGGGTTTATTTTGTCCCTGGTGAGTGGGGTTGTCTCTCTGCTTCCTGGTTGCCATGTCCTGAGCTCCCTTCCTCCACTACACTCTTCCACTATGATGTCCTACCTCACCTCCAGCCCAGAGCAATGGAGTCAGCCATCTGTGGACTGACACCTCTAAAACCATGAGCCAAATAAACTTTTCCTTCTCTAATTGTTCTCATCCGGCCTTTTGGTCACAGCAGCAAGAAAGCTGACTGAAATAGGTTGCCACTGAGGAGCAACAGTGACGAATGGGCAGAAATTGGGGCTAAACTTGTAGTGCAGTGGCTGAGCACTTGCCTAGCACATGTGAGGGACTGGGTTCAATCCTCAGCACCACATAAAAATAAAGGTACTATTATCCATCTATAACTAAAAATATATTTTTTTACAAAAAAAAAAAAAATGGGTAGAAATGGGGACAGAGGAATAGCCCCTTCCCCCACCACATAAGCTATGTTAAAAATCACTAGCTTCCCTCCAGTTATCATCCTTCCCTGCTATTATAGCCACAGAAACTGATGTGGATGCAAGTCTGCCCCAATGAAGATTATTTTTTTAGCCTTCCTTGGCTAGGTGTTAGCCAGATTTCCAGCTCTTCTCAATAGGTCTGGGCAGATGTGACACATAACTTTCTTTTTTTTTTATTTTGGGGGGGGGGGGGGTATCAGGATTGAATCCAGAGGTACTTCAGCACTGAGCCAGAGCCATATTCCCAACCCTTTTTATTTTGATTTTGAGACAGGGTCTCACTAAGTTGCTTAGGACCTTGCCAAATTGCTGAGGCTGGCCTCAAACTTGTGATCTTCCTGTCTTAACCTCCTGAGTCACTGGCACCTGGCTGGAGATAAGCTCCTAAGAGGGAGGAAATGGCCAGGCATAGTAGCACATGCCTGTAATCTCAGTGGCTTATGAGGCTCAGGCAGGATATCATGAGTTCAAAGCCAGCCTCAGCAACTTAGGGAGACACTTTCTCTAAATAAAATATAAAAAGTACTAGGGATGTGGCCCAGAGGGAAAGCATCCCCAAGTTCAAACCCCAGTACCAAAATTTTAAAAAAGGGATGAAGCACATTACTCTTCTCCTCTTCCTACTGGCCAAGTATTCATGTCATAAACTCCGAGCCCTCTCAGAGTAGCCATCTCACACCAAAAGACAGTATGGAGGGATGGCAGCAGGATCCACGATGCTGGAGAGTCATTGCTCAAGCCCAACCTCTACAATTAAAGCCACTTCCATTTGGGCTAACAAACACGTAAATGGGGCAGGACGGGGGGACAATAAATTGAGATTTATTATTAACTCTGAAAGGAATGTTGGGGGCTGGAGATGTGACTCAATAGTAGAACACATGTCTAGCATGTGTAAGGCATTGGGTTCAGTCCTCAGCACCACATAAAAATAAAGGTACTACATTCATCTATAACTAAAAATATTAAAAAAAAAAAAAAAAAAAAAGAATGTGGGCTGCGGTTGCTCAGCAGTAGAGTGCTCGCCTAGCACGGGTGAGGCCCTGGGTTCAATCCTCAGCACCACATAAAAAATAAATAAATTGAATAAAGCTACTGTGTCCATCTACAATTAAAAAAAGGAATGTTGGAAGATAATCACCACCTAGCTTCCTGGAGTCCTGGTTAAGTAAAGTTCTGCTTTAGTTAATAACATTTAGAGGGCTGGAGACGTAGCTAAGGGTAGGGTGATTTCCTAGTATGCATGAGGCCTGGATTGATCCCCAGAACCACAATAGACAAACAGATAAAATATCATGCAGCAAACTAGAAAACATTCATTTAATCAAAGAGATCTTCAAACCCAGATGCTTAGTACATGCTTACTTACCTTTTGGATTTCTAACTGAGTGTCGGAGTCATCCAAAAATTCTAGCGGGGGAGAGGGCTTGTCAATGACTGTCCTTCGGTCACCAAGTGGCTCCTCAACTGGCTTCTCCTGAGGGTCCACAATCACCCTCCTATCACAGAAGCTGCTCGTGTCAGGAGGTTCCTCCTCCGCTTTGACCTCTGGAGGCGACTCTTTTTCTTTCTGAGGAGGAGAGATCGTGACACTTCTGGCTGGTCCTTCGGCATGGCTGGGACGCACTCCTGGGCTTGGCTTCACCCTTGGGGTGGCAGCTTCTTTCCTTCTGGGCATGGATTTCCCCAGAATGCCCTGTAGAGCCTTCAAGTAGATCACTGCGGAGCCCTGGTCCCCAACCCTATTCCTCTTCCTTTTCTGGACCTTGTTTGTTTCTTCCATCCCATCATTCTGACCCTCAGCTTCAGCTGCAAATTCAGAGTTCATGGAGTTACGAGAACTATCTTTGGAATCAACCTGGTGGGGGGGAAAAGAAACCACAAAACTTAGAAAAGTGGTCCCAAAAGAATTTCAAACAAGAAGCACTTGGCAAATGGCACATCAGCAGTGGTTCTACTAGTCAAATAGAAAGTGAGCATTGGTAAGACAGGTCACTTTCCTCTCCGGACAGTGGTTTTGTCCCCCCCACTGACGAGGTGCTGCTTGAAAGGGACTGAACTGCAAGGCAGCTATTCTAATTGTCCACACCTCCTTAGCTCATCAGATGATCCCCTCTTACTGCAGCCACTGGAAGGAACAAGCTCCTGGAAGCCCACGACCAGCACATACTTCACAACAGACACCAAACAGCAGCTCACAGGATCCCCAGCCAGCCCAGTCCCACACCTAAGAGCCAAGGAAACCTGAGGACCTGGTGAGCTTCGAGAAGGCAGCACCAAGGAACTCCAACTTCTCACAGACTCCAGCCTCTGGAGTCCTCAATGAGCTTTCCCACCACACCCAAGCCTTCTTAAATCACTGCAACACCCTTCCTTGGTGTTAGAAACCAGAATCTTGGTGTTGGAAACAGGACCACTCTCCCAAGACCCTCCCTGCCCATGTCCTTAGAGACTTAAGTGAAGTCTCAGCTTCTCAGGCCCCACTCACTCCAGGAGTCCATAGGGAAAGCTAGACTGGCCTGGCCATGGTGGTGCACGCCTATAATCCCAAAAACTCAGAGGAGGCTGAGGCAGGAGGATCGAAAGTTCAAGGTCAGTCGCAGCAACTTCACAAGATCCTGCCTCAAAATAAATAACAAAAGCTGGGGATGTAGCTTAGTGGTAAAACACCCCTGGGACCCATCCCCAGTACCAATGAAAAAAAGAAAGAAAAAACTAGGCTATCTGCAATTTTAATTTCCTGTAAAACTCAGATCCAGTCTAATACCAGCCTGGCATTAAGAACACTCCATAAGAAGGTGTGATGGCTCACACCTGTAATCCCAGCAGCCCCGGAAGCTGATGCAAGGGGAGGATGATGAGTTCAAAGCCAGCCACAGCAACTCAGCAAGGCCCTAAGCAACTTTGCAAGACCCCGTCTCTAAACAAAATATAAAAAGGGCTGGGGACATGGCTTAGCCATAAAAATCTCCCCTCACAAAGAATCATTCCAAAAGAGTACAACTCCAAATCTCCCTAGCTATGATCTGGACTTACCATTATCCCAATATATTTTACAACCCCTATAATTTTTGGTTCTAACTCATTAAATTCCTCTCAAAAGCAAACACTCCTCCACAACAGAAAAGTGGAATTTACTCCAAGGGATGTCCATCAATAAGCAGACACTACAAAATACCATGGCTTTCTTAAACATGAGGTTGTAAGCTGGGGTGTGGCTCAGTAGTAGAGTGCACCCTTGGCATGCACAAGGCCATGGGCTCCAGCCACAACACCACCAAAAAAAGAAAAATCATGAGACTGCTCTGATGACAATAGTATAATAAATGCGAAGAAGCAGCCCAGGGCTGGGGCTGGGGCTGTTGCTCAGTGATAGAACACTTATATAGCATGCGCAAGACCTGGGTTCTATTCGAGGCATTAGGCATTATGCAAAAAAAAAAAAAAAAAAAAGTGAAATGAAAATCTAATATTAAAAATAGCCGGGCTCGGTGGCGCACACCTATAATCCCAGCAGCTCAAGAGGCTGAGACAGAAGGATATCAAGTTCAAAGTGAGCCTCAACAAAATCGAGGCACTAAGCAACTCAGTGAGAGTCTCTCTCTAAATAAAATACAAAATAGGGCTGGGAGTGGCTCAGTAGTTGAGTGCCCCCAAGTTCAATCCCCAGTACAAAAAAATAAAAAATAAACTTGATGACCTCTGGGCCTGCTGTACAGCTAACTACTAAGTTCGCTTCTACAGTACCTGTGTCTCTTATTATCACCAGCTCCCTGGCACCTCTGCACCCTTGGCCCATCACAGCCTCTTAGACATTCACTGGCATGTCACATTTCCACTTCATGCTACACCCTTGCGCTAGTCCCATTTTGTGTTGGGACTCATCCTTTAAAGCCCTGTCCTGCCTTCAGCTGCTTCTCCACTTCTGCCCTCTTCTTCCCCACAGGCCAGGTGCAAGGCAACATGGAAGGTGAGGTCTTTGGTAGGCTGGAAGGGACCCACTGAGGGGTAGTTGCTCTTCACCTCAAGCCAACATTTGGGAGAACCCACCCAGAGTTATGGATTCTGGTTTTTCCAAGCAAAACCAGGAATCTCTTAATGTACTCCTCAGACATTCAGCAAGTACTCAGCACTAATTATTGCCAGCAGGCACTGTTCTAGATCTGGAGTTTAACATTCAATAAAAGACACAAAATCGCCTGCTTCCTGGAGCTTATATTCCAGTTGGTGAGGGAAAGAAAAACCAGAGGATTGGCAAGACAAACTGGTGAAACCTATGTGAGAGTGACAAATGCTAAGCAGAAAAATAAAACGAGAGACACAGCTGGGTGGTGGAGCACCTGCTTAGCACATGCAAGGTCATGGATTCCATTTCCCTGACCCCTGCAAATAAATGCATACATATATATGCATTATTTTATATATATGATAAAGAGATAGTGGGGGAGGGAGACATTACCTAGATCTTAAGTTCGGTGGTTTTTTGTGGTGCTGAGGACTGAGCCCAGGACCTCCACATGCTAAGCACACACTCTACTATGAGCCACACCCCCATTCCAGAGTTATAAATGTGTGTTTATCATGTTGTAGGGGATGGAACAGGGCCTCCTGCATGCCAAGCAAGCTCTCTATCACTGATCTACACCTCATCCCAGAGTCAAATTTTTAAAATGAGTCTTCCAAAATTTTAAGGACCTAGCAGGCTACCTTCAATCCATGCACCAGCTGTTGGCCAACTCCAGCTATAAAGATCAAGACTGTAGTTAAGGGAGAAAGAAAAATTAGAAATATGCTAACATACCTTACATTTTCATATGGATTTATTTTTTTAGAAACTTGCAGCTGACCCTTTAGGTTGGGGGATCAGGTGCCACTCAGCTGCAAGGTTTCTTTTTTTTTTTTTTTTTTAAGAGAGAGAATTTCAATATTTATTTTTCAGTTTTCGGCAGACACAACATCTTTGTATGTGGTGCTGAGGATTGAACCTGGGCCGCAGGCATGCCAGGCAAGCGCGCATCCACAGCCCTCATATGGATTTATAATGAACAGAATTGCTGCAGCTGTCATCCCTCTTTTATAGAGAGGGAAACTGCCACATGGCTTGTGGGTGGCAGAAACAGGATTCAAACTCAAGTTCTTCTAACACCCTGGAAACCAAGCGAGAAAAGTAGAGAAACTATGAGAGTAAGAAACACTAACAAAGGCTGCAGAGGCAGGAGACAACAAGAACCAAATGAAGGTCACTAGGCAAGTTCAACAGGTGAAAGAAACCTGTAAAAGTTAGGATGAGGCAGACCCTAGACAGAAAGTGCAAAAGAGAGCACCTGGCTTAAAAAGAAACAATTCCCGTTTTTACCCCTGGCAGCACCACGTGGAGAATTGAGCGTCTCTGAAGGCAAGAACTCCAGCCCTCATGGCCTAGAACAATTTCCAAGCTTCCTAACCGGCTCCCTTCCTGCTTCCTCCTATCTCTTCTCCAGCAAATCCCGCAATGTCCTGCCTCTGCTTACAACCCTTCCAAGGCGCTGCATTTGTCTATAGAATAAATCCCAAACTTCTGAGCATCATATTCCACCTTTCTCCAACCCCATCATCCAGGGCACAAAGAAAGGCCCTGATTGACAACAACTGTATATTTCCAAACAGCTAGTAAAATGGAGTTTTACTATAAAGGACCTTGCACATACTGAGTATGTGCTCTATCACTAACGCATATTTATTTTACATTCTATGACTGATAAACTTAAATTCAATATGTAAAGTCTACAATTCTTTTTTACTTTCTTTTTTGCCAGTGCTAAGAATTGAGCCCAGGTAGAAGCAAGCACTCAACCACTGAGCCACACATCCAGATCATAGATTCTAAATGCTTCGAACCCAAAGAAATGATAAGTGTTCGCGGCAATGGATATCATTTACCCCAATCTGATCATTTTGTATTGTGTACATGCACTGAAATATTACATTTACCCCATAAATATGCCAAGCAATATATTTTTTTTTAAGTGAGGGATTATAAACATTAGAATTTGAGAAAGTTTCTCAGTTGCCCCTGGAGTCAACGAAAGTGAGGTTGGCCATCAGGAATCTCTAGTGACTTTGAAATGCCCAGGGGCTAGGGTGTGGCTCAGTGCCAGAAGAGCACCTGCCTATCAGTCATGAGGCTGTGGGTTCAATGCCCAGCACCACTAAAAATATTCAAACATCTTCCCTTCTGAATGTTCCATGTCCTAGCACACACAACTGTGCTGAAGGTTGTGGGGCACACAAAGCCAAATATGTGTCCCTCAGAGTTTACAGAACAGACATAGGAGAACAGGTGGGCAAGGTGACCTTGGAAGGGCATGCTTTTTCTGTCAGTGCCCCTTAGGTGTGCCTGCTCAGAAACATTAGGATTTAACAGTCAAAAAAGTTCTCATAGGACTGCAGTACAAGGTGAAAGGTGTGGATGGAGGAGAAAAGTACCAGAGACATAAATACAGCTCTAGGGAGACCTTAGCAGGGCTAGAAATGGACAATTAGATTGTTATCTTCCCTCAGCATGACAATCTTTCTACAATGCCAATTTGCCTTTCCTCTGTACAGAACCCTATAGGAACTCTTTAATGGCTTAGAATACAATCCAAATTTGCTTAGAATAAAATCCAAATTCCCTTAGCTACTAAAATCATGCAGCAATCTGCCCTGCCTAGCTCTCCAGCATCCATCCTGGGCTCTCTGCTCCAATATACCACACTGTGGGACAGTCATGTGACCTCCAATCCTCCCACTACAATGTGATCAGAGTTCAGGGATCCAGTAGCACCTGGCACACAGTTACTCTCAGGTGCTTACTGAAACTATTAAACTGGGTTCTGCCATCAAGAGTCCTTCACTTTTTTTTTTTTTTTTTTTGGCAGCAATGTGTTTCAATCCATAGCACTCTCCCACTGAGCTACATCCCTCCCTTTTTATTTTGAGATAAGGTCCAAGTTGCCCAGGCTGGCCTCGCACTTGCCTCACTGTCCAGAGTCTCTAGGATTACAGGTGTATCCTGTAGGGCTAAAACTCCTTTGACTTTGATGAGAAAAATGTGGATTCACCCCAGGATTAGACCCATCCAGATCAAGGGCCACACCCTAAACCCCCCCACACTAGAAATTGAACCAGAGGCACTCTAGTTCCCAGCCCCTTCTAGTTTTTGAGACAGAGTCTCACTAAATTTCTGACTGTTGGCCTTAAACTTGCAATCCTCCTGCCTCTGCCTCCTGAGTTGCTGGGATTACAGGTGTGCACTTCCACCCCTGGCCACACCCTCTAGTCTTAAACCCCAATCAGCACAGCCTCAGTCTGGGATGCAGCACACCTGAAACTAAGTAAAATAAATTCCTGCCTGACAAGCTTAAATTCCTCCACCTGACATGAGGCTTGTCAGTGAAGCTAATTATAATTGACTAATATTATTTGGATAATGTGTCCAATTCCACTCGGAGGGATTAATGACAAGTTGTATGAGCAAAGCCCAATATTTACGTGATTTACATTTGAATCATATTCCATGTTCTTATGCCAGACAGCTTTTCAGCTCATTAACTGATGAATTAAAAAAAATCCATGTGCTGAGTTCAGATAAAACCTGGCACTTTGGCAAAGGGCTCCCCAAGATAAACAGACTTTTCCCACATACAGAGTCCCCCCTCACTCTTTCAGGCCTGAAGCTCCAAAACTTACAATGCAAACTGGAGACTGGTCTTTGTCAGGAGAATCACACACACCTGTGACACTGCACCACACAAACTAGGCCTTCAATAAATCTCTCTTCAAATCTGATTCAAGCACTTCCCAGTGGGCCTCAAGCACAGGTGAAACCCTCTGTGTGTTTCCAATAGGGAACTAGACTTGGCTTCCTCTCCCCAAAAGAAAAAAAAAAACAACTTAAAAACCACCTCCAAACAAAACCCCAAAATGCTGGAAACCATGACTTTGGTGCAAAGCCACACCAACAACCAAATTCCTTGGCTCTGCACTTCAGAGTAGCTCGATACAAAGGAAACATTCCTTAAAATGACCAACTAAAACAGATTCATCTGTCTCTTGAGCATGCAATTCACCTCCTACTGCAGTGATAATCCAGCCAGGCTGCACACTTACAATTACCTAAGGAGCAGGTAAAAAATGTGGAAGCCCAGACTACACCTCGGTCCAAAGGAATCTCTTTTCTCTGGGGTGGGAAGCAAGCACAAGTATTTTAAAGCTTTCCAAGTAGTTCCACAAGGCTACCAAGTTTGAAGAGTACCTCTTTACCGAGCTTCAGGCCACCCCTGGCGGACTGCTTAGTCTTCCGCATTTGGGTGGAGTAGGGAAGACCCCAGAGACCTTGAAGGACAAGATCCTTTTGAGTCTCCTCCCACCAAAGTTCCCATCCCCAACCTCTCAAGCCACGTGGAAGAAGCTTCGCCGACTGCACGGCGTGGCAACTACCTACCTTAAGGCTGCAGGCTTCCTCCTCTAGAGAAGCCATTTCTTCTAGAGAGGGGTTGGCAGGACGCATAGAGGTTCCCTTCGACGAAAGGAACGCGCGAGCGCTCCGAATCAGGCAGCCTTTGGAGGCGGCCCCGCCCACACCTGGGCCCGAGGAATGGGAAGAGGAGGAGGAGGAGGAATTTCTGCGTCGAGTTGAGCTCCTGGATAACCTCGGCGAGCAGGCCACATCGTCCTCCTTGTGTGCTTTCAGGCGCTTGGAGCTGCTGCCCCCTCGTGAACGCGACGCAGAGCTGTGAGCTGACCGGCTGGAGGGGGCCACATCACTGGGCTCCCGGAGGCAGCTGCGCTTGCTGGGACAGCCTTCCGAAGTGCTGCTCCAGTGGTACTTGACCTTGCGCCGCTCCGACGCCATGGGCACCTGCAAGGCAAAAGGGAGCCTGGATTCCAACACCAGCCCTCCCGCCACCCGACCCCCTGGGTAAGGAAAGCCAGAAAGAAAGAAGGTCAAGGCCACGGGCTGGCCTCACTGACCTTTCCCTCTTCGTTCCACTGCCCATCACAGTTCTCAAGGTTTCAGAGATGCCAAAGCGCTTCGGAGAAGTCCCAACGATTAGAGATTGACTAAAGGCTTCGGTTTGGCTCCTAAACCCACAAAGTGCTTCCGTAATCACCAAGCGCTTCTGTTTGCACCGCGCTACTTCGCAGACCTCAAAGCGCTTCCGGGACTGCTAAGCGCTTCAATTTAGTTTGCTACACAAAGCCCTTCACAGATGTCAAAGCGCTTCCACAGACGCTTTAAGGTCCACACATGGCGGCCGGAACCGCAGCCCTCGGGCCGGGCGCGCGGCCCAGAGGCCCTGCCGCCGAGGGCGGGCCGGAGAGCAGGGCCCGACCCGGCTCCGCAGCCCGCCCTGCTCCAGCGGCCCCGACGACCCTCCCCGGGCCGAAAGGGGCGCCCGTCGCCGCCGCTCGGGAGCCGGCGGCGCCTCCGCCCGCCGCCTCAGGACAGCCCCCTACCCCGCCCGGCCGTCTAGCCGTCCCTGCCGCCGCGGCTGAGACGCCAGCCCGGCCGCGCCGCCTGGGCGCTCACTCGCCCCCCGCCCTCGTCCTGCAGCCAGGCCCGGCCTCCGCCCGGGCTACAACCACTCCGGCCGCCGCGGCGCCCGCCCCCCGGAAGGAGCCCTGCGGCCCGCGGCCCGGCAAGCGGCGGAGGAGGGACCTGCGCCGAACGGAGAAAGCCCATTGCTCAAATCGGCAAGGGGCGGAACTCCGAGCAAGACGGAGCTCTCCTCTTGGTCAAACGGCGTGGAGGCGGGACCTAACGCCTTACGAAGCTTGCGTATTGGTCACAAGCCAGACGGGGCGGAGCCACTCACGTGGGCCGGGAAAGCGCGAAGCTGAGGCGCGGCCGCAGTTCCTCAGGCCGGCCCTCTTTGCCAGAAGCTTTCGTGTCCGGATTCGCACGTCGAACCCACGTCAAGTCCTTAGCATCATCACCCACTTTACAGAAAAAGGAAACTGGCTCAGAGAGACCAAATGACACACACAGAGGTGACAGAACTGAGATTAGAAATAAGAAATCTCAAAGAGAGACTACACAAAAATGTAGACTATCTGCCTGGCAAAAAATATCAAAAGAAGGGGCAAATTTAGAAACAAATTTGCATCATATTATAAAAGACTAGATAGAATACTCCCAATAAGATAACTAATGAATAAATTAGGAACAGCTCTTAAACATGAGAAGATGGCTCAACTTCAGTCATTTAAAAACCACAAATAAGCCTGGTGGCGTGGTGGTGCTCACCTATGATTCAACAACTCGGGGGGGCTCAGGCAGGAAGATGGCAAAATTTGAGGCCAGCCTGGGCAATTTAGCAGACCCTGTCTCGAAATTAAAACATTTAAAAGGAGGGGGATGCTGTAGTTCAGTGACAGAGCATCTGGGGTTCAATCCCCAGTATCACACAACACATAAATACTATGAATAAAATTATAATTTTCTGCCCACTAGACTGGCAGTGATCAAAGCATGATATATTTTGTAGCTGAGGATGTGGGGGAATGCACATTCCCTTATAGAGCTGATAGATGTGTATATTAGTACAAGATCCTTGGAAGGTAACACAGTAGCGGCAACCTTAATATCCACTGAGGAACTGGATATATAAATAAATATCCCTTGACTTATGGTGAGGTTTACATCTGATTAAACCCATAGTGAACTGAAAATATCACTAAGGCAAGCAACCTTAAATTCATCCGGACACAAAAACATCTCTTAAGATATACGTTGGATTGACAAATATTTTTTTTTTATTTCACAAAAAATAGAATTATTTTAAATATGACATTTCTCCTAGTGCATTAAAAATAGCATTTGTTTCCTACACATATTTTCAACATGATTTTTCAAAAACATACCCAGTGCATAAACATTGGAAATGTGGCAGAAATACACACTTAATACTTTATTTATTTTATAAAATAGGACAAGTATTGTTTTTGAACAGACATTGCACATGTTTCTCCCTACAAATGAGGCAGGGAGAATGAGCAGGTGCTCTTACTTACAAAGAAATTGAGGTCCCAGAAATTAAATGACTTCCATAGCAGCTGAATCAGACATGAGATTATTTCTCCTTATTCTTCATCCAGCCATAAATAACACAAAGAATAAAAGCTCCATTAAAAATACAAACATTAAATTAAAAAAATGAAAAAAAAAAATACAAACATTAGTTGGGTGGGAGGATACAGATGCTCAGCAGGCACTTAATAAATATCTGTGAATTACAAGATCACCAAGAGGAAGTAGTAAGCCCAGAAAGTCCTTTGCCAAGTGCCTGGCATTGTAACATCTGAGACATTGAGAGTAAGTCAAGAACTTCACTGTGACACAAGTTGAATACCTTTCAGGGTATGGAAGTTCAAAGGTGGTTGTTGGCAAATGTGACTCACGGGTCTTAACTCTGGAAATCCCTATCAACATTGTAGAATTGCTCCATCAGTTGTCAAGGGCTGACAGCTGCTGGAGTGACAGCTTTTACTGGTATGGATATCGTCATGGACTCCCCAGAACCACAAAATCACCCACATCCTGGGTCCATTTACCAGGCTTCTGCTTCAGTCTCTTCTGATACCCGGCTCTGACTAACAAATCCCAGACAGGAAGAACATTTTGTAGATTTTGGGGTCTGTAAAAGCTGAGGTCCCTTGTCCCCTAACTCACTCTGATAAAATGGAAGTTTCTTTCCCTTCCATATGGAAAGCTAATGTTGGTTTCTTGGCAGAACTTGGAGTCTGCCTCAGACCTTTTCCTTGATTGGACACTTTGTCTTTCCAATTGAGGACAAGGTTCCTCAGCTATGTTCCAGTCATCAAGGTCCAAAGAGCTCAGCACTGTCTAGTTGTTCCTCATTGTAGAGCAGGATGTTCTCCATCAATTTCCGTTTGGCCTCATTTATCTCAACTTCCCATGAAGTCTCTGTAGCTGTAGTTCAATGGAAAATAAAAAAGAGCAACCTGAACAACAGTTATAATTCTTTGAAAGTAAGATTTGGGCACAGTCTCCCTTAAATTAGGTTTTTCAATCAGGCCTCAGATAACAAGCATGTTTATGCCTTCTTCCTTTGCAAGGAAGTCCACCTTTCCAGACAGGAGGGGGCTCCCATGCTCCTCTCCACAGTGGAAAGAGGTTTAGAGTCCACAACACTAGAGCCTCTCTCTCCCTGCTGGGAGGAGCAGCAGTAGGAGTGGTCCGAGCCTAGATATTCATTGAGGCACATTAAGGGGACCAGAACACTTCATAGAAAAGATCTTCCTAAGTTTTATTTCAGAAGGAAGCCTGGATGTGACAGGAATGGAAGGTTTCTTAGAAATGGCTGATGAGTATGAAGAGGTAGGCTGGGAGAGGCCACACCGGGCCCTTGATGGTCTGGGGAAAGAGTTCAGACTTGGTCTCTGAGATGGGGACTTTAAACAAGGGTGTGTCATGAGCACTTTGTTTTTAAAAATCACTATAGGGCTGGCATGGTGTTGTAATTGGAGCATCTCTAGAGGCCGAAACAGGAGGATTGCAAGTTTAAGGCCAGATTCAGCAACATAGTAGGGCCTTAAGAAACTTAATGAGAATTTGTCTCCAAATAAAAAAACAAAGAGCTAGGGATATAATTCACTGGAAAAGCACCCCTGGATTCAATTCCCTAGTATGAAAGAAAGAAAACAAAACAAAAACCCATTCTAGGGCTGGGGGTATAGCTTAGTGGAGTACTTGTCTGGCATATGTTAGGCCCTGGGTTCCACCCCTAGCACCAGAGAAATACATACATACATACATAAACATAGAAACCACTCTAGTTGGCTTCCAGAGAAAGAACTGGTAAAGGAGGGACTCGAGTGGGTAAAGGAGGATGCAGGGAGGCTGTGCTGTCATCCCACATGAAGGACAGAAGTTTAGCCTGTGGATAAGGATAGGCAGAGATGGAGACAGAGAGGTTCAGGAAGAGAGGGAAATGTCAAGGATAACTCCTGGGTTTCTCATTGTGCAACTGGCTGGCCAGTGAATGAATGGATAACTAAATAAAGGAGTGAAAGGGGCGACAGAGGAAGAAATGATGAGTAGAAGTTAGGGACACACCAATGAGGGTGCAAAAGTCCTTGGAGGACCTTCCCTGCTTACCATCCTCGGGAGCCCGTGGGCCAGTGCAGGCCTCAGAGGAGTCTGCCTCCACTCCTCTGGTGTCCTGTAGCCTTCCTTCTCCGTTCTCTGCAGGGACAGGTGAGGTCCTCACAGAGGAGGGGGCATCAAGGCTACCATCGTCCACATCATCTGTTTCCTCCGGAGTGTTGGAGGAAGCTCCTGTGCCCTCAGAGAACCCGCTCCAAGGCAGCGAGGTCTCCTGACTTCGGAACCACTCTTCCACCAGAGCAACAGAACCACGGGCCTCGGGGCAGAGAGAGAAGAGCACTTGTCAAGAACCCTTTCTAAAATCGAAAGCCAAAACCTTGTCACCCAGGCCTCAGGAGAGACACACTAAACCATGAAATGGCTGTTGTTTTATTGGAAGAACAGCATCCTGCCTTTGAAAAGATCTGAACTTGACTCCTGCCCCCATAGCCATAAATGAGAGACAGCACACGAGCCCAAATGGGCCCATTGTAGAACCCCATTCCTCTGGCCATGTGAGTGGTCCAGGCTTCAGCACATAACCCAAGAGAGACAACTGGAATCCTGCCTTAGGATTTTCCCACCTTGAGCTGGAAAGAGTGCCCTTTGTTTTCTAGTGGAACCAGACTCCCCACCAAACACAGGAAATCCATTTACAAAACCCCAACAGAGAGCAGAGTAGAGACAAGAGATGGAGACAGGGCCAGAGACATAGACACATGACAGTGACTCACTAGGGGGTCTAACTGCCCTGAAAGCAGAGCAAGGCTGGCTCTCTCTGCTGTTTGGTCAAATGAACCACTAAATTCGTTAATTCCACTTTTGCACACACACACTCACGTGCATGCATGCACACACACACCAAAGGCATACATGAAGACCTTTGTTTTTTCCCCAGGAGTTGTACACCAGTCCATGCAGACCTTTAATAATAGTAACAAATCACATTTCCTCGGTGCCTTGTAAAAGTTCAGTGTGTGGTCAGGATGCAGTGGTGCACGCCTGTATTCCCAGTGACTCAGGAGGCTGAGGCAGGAAGATCGCGAGATCCAGGCCAACTTTAGTAACTAGGGAGGCTGTCAGCAACTTAGCAAGATCCTATCTCAAAATAAAAAATAAAAAGGGCTGGGGATGTACTCAGTGGTAAAGTGTCCCTGGGTTCAATCCTCAGTATAAAAAAAAAAAAATGCACAGGTGTGAATTTTACAGATTTCACATATAACACACAATGAGTTTTCATGTAGGTCTCTAGATCCTGCTACTTCCCACCCTCAAAAAGAGGATGGAGGGGGCTGGGTTGTGGCTCAGTGACAGAGCACTTGCCTTGCATATGTGAGGTACTGGGTTCAATCTTCAGCACCACATAAAAATAAATAAACAAAATAAAGATATTATGCCTGTGTATAACTAAAAATATATTTTAAAAAAAGAGGGTGGAGGAAAAGAGGAAGGGGGGACCCAGAGAGAAGAGGAGGGAACGAAACACCGTTGGAGAAAGCAAGTAGAGTCTGTAAACATCAGAGAGTCTGGCCCAGCCACACACCTGCTCTCAGGCTCCCCCCCACTGTCCACACACTGCCCCTTTTTGCTCATGAGCACTCCAGTAGGTTCTACTTGTCACCAAAGGCAGCCCTTATTTATGAGATCATGCCCAGCAAGCCCTGGCAAGGCAGGCACAGGCATCCTCCGAAAGTGAGGCCCAGCTGAGGGCACGGCTCACCTCCTCCAGGCTGGCATTGCGCCTCCGCAGGCAGAGGCAGATGGCTGTGCCCAAGGCCTCAGCACAGTGCTCTGGCAGCGCCCCTGCTCTTTTTTCCAGGTACTTCTGGCAGATCTCCTTTGCCACTGCCTTCTCCACACCCGTCTTCCTGGAGCAGAGTGAGGAGGTGCTGCTGGGAATCTCACTGAGGAGTAGATCCTTCTGTGGGAAGAAGGGTGTGAGGTCCCTGTGAGCTGCAGGCTGTGGCAGCCACCCACCTGCCCTGCCCACCTCCAGGACGGCCCTTGAGCCTCAAAACCTTCTCAGACACACAGGAAATTTTAAAAATAAATGCCCAGGCCTGGTTCAGTGGTACATTCCCATAATCCCAGGGACTCGGGAAGCTGAGACAGGAGGATCCCAAGTTCAAAGCCAGCCTCAGCAACTTAGTGAGACTCTATATCAACATAAAAAATAAAAAGGGCTGGGGATGTAGCTCAGTGGTAAAATGCCCCTGGGTTTAATCTCCAGTACCAAAAAGTGAATAAATAAAATAAAACACCCAAGTCCCAGACACCAGAGAAATACTCAGGAACTGGAAAATCTAAATTCCTTATATACCTAAGGCATCCCATAGTGCCCTCACCCCACAACCACTAGGGCCTGACCTTTCTAGGCTTCAGTTGCTTCAGCAGGAAAATAGGGTAACAAAAATACCTTACTACTAGGACTAACACAAACATTATCAGGATAATGTACCCACAGCACAGTGGGAAACCTGATGCAGAATCAATATGCAATAGCCCATGTGACAACTGTCATTTGCATACCACTTACTGTAGGCTGAGCATTTGACTCACATTTATGACTTATGTCTTAGTGTAAGCTGAGCACCTGACTCACATTTATGACTTTAAGTCTTGTTAACAATGACATGGGCTCTTTCTTCCTCCACAGCCATCAAGGTCCCCATTAAAGAGCTTGTGGTTGAAGTCAGGGGCACAAAGCAGGTTCTGAAGTTTACCCTTGCCTGTGCCTACCCTGCAGAAGATGGAATCCTGGGCACTGCCATTGCCAGCAGGTTCTTCAGGAGAGAATAAAAATGAATGGAAAAGTTGGGAATTGGGAATTTCAGAACAGGAGCTGTAACGATCAAAAGAAACAAGAGAGCTAAGGGTAGTGCCAGGGCATTGTGGTGCCAAACTGTGACATAGGAGGCTGAGGTAAGAGGATCACAGTTCAAAGCCAGCCTCAGCAACCTAGCAAGGCCCTAAGCAACTTAGCGAGATCCTGTCTCTAAATAAAAAATAAAAAGGGCTGGGAATATTGTTGAGTGTTTAAACCCCCTGGGTTTAATGCCTGGTACCAAAGAAAAAAGGAAGAAAAACTACAAGTATGTTTACAATTCAGGAAAAAAAACAGCTCTGAAAGATTATCAGTCATGGGTCATGATGCTTACTTCAAAAACAAATTAAATAAATAAATAAGCAAACAAATCCCACTCTACTGCAGTCTCCCCATCCAGCCAATGGGGGGTAAGAGGATCTGAGAAGCAGCCACAAGCTCAATACCTGGAGAGAAACCTGTAGCAGATAAGGGGTGCATTTGCACAATTCCCTTGTATGAGCTCTGCCTTTTAAATGTTTATATTTTTAAAAAGTGTAATGGGGGCTGGCGGTGTTGTTCAATAGTAGAGCACTTGCCTACCATCAGCAAAGCCCTGGGTTCCATCCCCAGCATCATAAAATTAAATAAATAATGGTGTTCAAAGTGGACAGACGAATAAGTGACAGTCAAGGTTTGTGATTGACAGGCACATAGGTTACCACCGCCTGGAATGGAACCAGAAACTACTCAGGGTGATTATGCTGCAAGACTGATAAAAGCAGCAGCCTGATGGAAAGACAGGTCTTATCTAGCCACCATCAGCAAGAGGTGCTGAGAACAGGCTGTGACAGGATGATGGAACTTCACAATGGAGGAGTCAGCAGCTAATCTCAGCACTCACCATTCACGAGTAGGACACAGGGCTCAGGGCCGCTTGATGCAATTGCAAGCCCAGGGCACCTGGAGGAAGTGCACTGACACGAACCCACAAACCCACACCTAGTCTGAATCGCCAGCAGCCAGGGCACAGGAAATATACAGGGTACAGAGAAACAAGTGAAAGACACCATAAGGACACAGTGGGGCAGTCTACTATTGACTCACAAAAATGCAATGACGTTCAAAAGGCAAAGGGAGGAGGGGCCGAGAGAGGACACCCACAAGAAACAACTGGACTGAGGACTTTTTTGGGTCCACAAGCAAACCACCTTGCAAAAACAACCGTGGGGCTGGGGGTGCAGCTCAGTGGTAGAGTGCTTGCCTAGCATGTACGAGGCTCTGGCTCCATTAATAACTCCACTCTTAATAAGGAGTGGTTATTAAATCATATCAAGGAACTAAGAAAATAACTATTTCATGTATACAATCACATAATATCTGGGATTTGCTTTAAAATTGTCCATGATAACAAGGGGTTTGGAGAAGTGACCATCCCTGCAGTAGGAAGGGATGATGGAGACAGAGGAATGGAGTCCCTGAGCTGCTGGGTTTCCTAAGCCAAGTGTATGGAGTGACTGAAATAAAAAATAGTAGTATTTAAGTATTACAAGAATTTTTTGTTAAAATTTAAAATATGACAGGGATTGGGGGTGTAGCTCAGTAGTAAAGTACATGCTTAGGATTCAAGAAGCCCTGGGCTCAATCCCCAGCACCAAAAATAATAATAATAATAATAATAATAATAATAATAATACATTACACAAAGTGGTTAGATTTGGGGGTCAAACGTTAACTGTCCCCTCATTTCAAAAAAGGGTTATCAAAAATGATATCCCTCCACATTTGTGGAAACCATTTAACCAAAAAAAAAAAAAAAAAACCTCCTCCTCATATGACATTCTCCAGGGAGTCCCAGAGGACTGCTAGAGACTATGTCTTGAGGAAAAGTCAGGAAAGAAAGATCACCCCTAAAGGGCCCCAAACCACATCCACATTGGATCTATGCCCTCTTTACAGCATCTGGGATCCAGAGCCAAAAAGGGTGGAGCCCACAGAGTTCAGCAAAGGGACAAGGGTGATTTTTCTATATAGAAAGGAAGGCCAGCAGGCTCCCCACCCTAGAGCACAGGGTGTGTTTGGGGGTCACACACACACACACACACACACAGCTGGTTTTCCAATGGTCTCAACATCTGGGCAGGAAAGTACCCTGGGCTAGCACAGCCCCTGAGCAATTCTGCAGAAGGCATGGACTCAATCTCAGCCCTGCCATGTGGCACCTGAGCCTAAGCTTTCTCAGCAGCAATATGGGGGCGATAACTGTGAGTTTGGATGGGTGGACTGTCACAATAGTTAAATACTCAGAAAAGTATCATGGTCAAGAGCTTAAGATCTGGAACCCAAAGGACCCAAGTCAGAATTGTGGCATGTAGGACTCTGAGGTCTCTCTCAGGGCCCACATTCCTCATCTGTGGACCATCATCATGATCCCATCATGGGGATTTTGAGAAGATTCTGAAAGATTATATATGAAGAGTGCCTAGCACAGAGCAGAGTCATACCTAGTCAGCACATTTTTGAAATGACACTGTGTTTGTGTGTGTCTGTGTGATCTTTGACCTATAAAAGTACTGCTTTTATTACAAAACCCCATTTTTTAAAATCTTTTTAGTCATAAGTGAACACAATGTCTTTATTTTACTTTACATGGTGCTGAGGATGGAACCCAGTGCCTTATGCATGCTAGGCAAGCACTCTACCTCTGAGCCACAACCCCAGTCTCACAAAAACCCCATTTATTATTTTTTTTAAAAAAACCCACTTAAAGGGGCAGAAATTAACTTTGACCAAGTTGAAGACAACCCTATCTCACTGCCTGATAGGTAGAGAAGAAATGGGTCTTCCCTACCCATTCTAAATTCAACCATCGTGAGAAAGCAATTGTTTGGCCAATGGAGGTTGGGCAGTGAAAGTCATTTTGCACAAATGCAAATCAAACCCTGGACTGAGGCCTCATGAGTGTGTTTAAAACGGACCCAGACCTCCCTACACACAGCAATGACCCACAGGTACCAGCCTGTTGGCCAGAAGTGACCTAGTCCCTTACCAGATAAACTGGGCTGCGGTCATTATCCACTGCAGGGATGCCAGTGAGGATCTCTGCCAGCACCTGGAGAGAACAGAACAGGGAGTTACCACAGTTCAGCTCTGACATTCATGCACAAGGTCAGCGGGAGAATTGGCCATAAGGGAAGCTTCTCTGTAGTGCAGTTTGAGCCCCAGGATGGCTCTGCCATTTGCCAGCAGACACTTGCTCAAAGTCTGGGACATGCTGCCAGCAGTCTCACCAACAGCAAAACAGGGAGGATGGAATTCAAAAAGTCAAGTGTGTAAATGTGTGTATGTTGTTATTATTTGGCAGACAACATCTTGCTGCATTGTCCAGGAGTCCTCAAACTCTTGATCCTCCCTCCTGCACCTCAGCCTCCCAACTAGCTGAGATTATAGATATGTGATGCTGTGCCCAGCTCCAATACACATTTTTTTTGTAAAGGTATTGAACTCAGGAGCACCTTACCACTGAGCTACATCCAGCTCTTTTTATTTTTAACTTTGAGACAGGGTCTCACTAAATTGCTGAGGCTGGCCTCAAATGTGCAATCCTCCTGCCTCAGCCTCACTACAGGCATGCACCACTTTGCTTGGCTTCCAACATGCTGTTTTTTAAAGATTATTTCATTTTGTGGTATATATACACAATGGATTTTTATTCACCTATAAAAAAGAATGAAATTATGTCATTTGCAGGAAAATCAATGGAACCTGAAATCATTTTGTTGAGCAAAATAAGCCAAATTCTGAAGGTCGAGAATCTGTATGTTTTATCTCATATGTAGAAATTAGAGAAGAAAAAGGAAAAAGAAAGATGGTTGGGGGGAATGTCTTATGAAAATTGAAGGGAGATCAACAGAGCAGAGGAAAGGGACCAGGGAAAGGAGGAAGGGAAGGAAAAGGAGAATGATATTATACCCAAATTATATTATCATACCTAACAATGAACCCCACCATTATGTAAAACCATGATGTGTGTCTTACTAAACAGGAAACCTCTGAACAAGAATTTGCAGCAGAGAGAAGTGTGGTGGTAAAGAACTGAGTTCAAACTCTGTGACTGTTCCTCACATATTTAGGGGATCTTTGGACAAGTAATTAAAATCTGAGCCTCAGTGTCCTAATTGTGAAATAGGGATCAAGCACATGAGAATGTTACAGGAATGAACATCTGACCCTTGGGGTCAAATCTTTTTCCCAAAACTCTCCTTCAGCCAAGGTGGAATAGGGGCCCATTTACTGGCTGAATGACCCAGTGGCCAGGAGGGGGCAGCAGAGGGCACCACTGCAGCAAGTGGGACTGGAGCCAGTTCAAAGTCCAGGTCCTTCCAGGAAGGGAGAGAATGAGGGGAAATTAATAAGCAAATATTTCCTCTGCCCCTTTCACAGGGCCTGTAATGGATGAGCCATTTACAGCAGTTATTTGGTGCTCATCAAAAAAATGCTAAGATGGGGCTGGGGACTTGGCTCAAGTGGTAGCGCGCTCGCCTGGCATGCGTGCGGCCAGAGTGCGATCCTCAGCACCACATATAAAAATGTTGTGTCTGCCGAAAACTAAAAAATAAATATTAAAAAAAAATTCTCTCTCTCTCTCTCTAAAAAAAAAAAAAAAATGCTAAGAGAGGGCTGCGGCTGTAGCTCAGTGGCAAAGCACTTGCCTAGCACTGGGTTCGATCCTCAGCATCACATAAAAATTAACAAATAAAATAAAGTCATTCTGTCCATCTACAACTATAAAAAAGTTTTTAAAAAACACTAAGAGACTGGGGCTGTAGCTCAGCGGCAGAGCACTTGCCTAGCATGTGTGATCCTCAGCACCACACAAAAATAGACAAAATAAAGGTAGTCTGTCCATCTACAACTACAAGAAATTAAAAAAAAAATGCCAAGGGGGGCTGGGGTTGTGGCTCAGCAGTTAGAGCACTCACCTAGCATATTCGAGGCCCTGGGTTCGATCCTCAGCACCACATAAAAATAAATAAATAAAGGTATTGGGCCCAACTACAACTAAAAAATGTATTTTAAAAAATGCTAATAGGGCTGGGGATGTGGCTCAAGCAGTAATGCGCTTGCCTGGCATGCACGGGGCGCTGGGTTCGATCCTCAGCACCACATACAAATAAAATAAAGATGTTGTGTCCACCGAAAAACTAAAAATAAATATTAAAAAAAAAATGCTAATAGCCGGGCCCAGTGGCACAGGCCTGTAACCCCAACTATTTAGGAGGCTGAAACAAAAGAATTTAAGATGGAGGCCAGTCTGGACTTTGAAAAAGGGCCAGGGACGTAGCTCAGTGACATGTGCCCCTGGGTTCAATCCCCAATACCACCAAAAAAAAAAAAAAAAAAATACTTGGGAGAGCTTAAGGTGCAGCTCAGTAGTACAGCACTTGCCTATCATGCACAAGGCCCCATCTCCATCTCCAGCATAAATAAACAAATAAATAAATATCTCGATGTGTGCAGGGTACTGTGCTAACCAGTTCACATATATAATCCCATATGTACCATTACCCCCATTTTACTGAAGATAAAACTGAGGCCCAGAGATAAGGGTAATGTAATCTAGGCCACAGGATAGAAAGTAACAGCTGGGTCTAGGTGCTCAGCACTTAGGAGTTCAGTCTTATGGATTCTTTTTCACTTTTTAAATTTTTTATTTGTTTATTTTTTGTAGGACTGAGGATTGAATCTTGGGGTGCTATACTACTGAGCTATATCTCCCACCATTTTCATTTTTTTGAGACAGGGTCTCATTAAGTTGCCCAGGCTGGCCTTGGACTTGCAATCCTCCCACCCCAGCCTCCTGTGTAGCTGAGATTACAGATATGCATCCCATGCCTGGCCTGCTGGTTCTTAAAGGAACAGGAAAATTCGAAATAGGCCAAGGGAGGCGAGCAAACCAGCAGAGCTAGACAAGCTGAGACAGAAGGCAGCTGAATCTGGCCCACGGTGGTCCGGATGAGGGCTCTCGTGGCAGATGTGACTGGGTAAGACATCATGGTCAGAGACCGGAAATGCAGAGTTCAAGACTGGAGCAGCAGAGAGAGGACAAGGCCCAGGTACAGCTGACTGTGTTTGGCTGAGGCCAAACAGGCTGCCGCTTTTCTAGCCAATGTTTCCCAGACTGGGTTCCATGGAACACTGACGCTGACAGATACTCTGAGAAAACAAGGTCAAGTGAACGGAAACTCAGCATACCTTTCTCTGATGAATTCACAACGTAAAGAACCCTGCTTGACTGTGTTTAACCAACCCAGTATTTTGCAAACATGATTGGCTACAAAACCCTTTTTACACTGATAAACCCAGCCTGATTTTCTCTTAAAATTGGGAGCCATCTCGCCACAAAGCCATGAAAAGATAATTTCAGTTTTACTATAAATTCCTGCAAATTCTGAACTAGCTTGGAATGCCTGCCCGTGCCTTGAACTCACCCATGCCTGGTTCTCTCTGACCAGATAGTAGCCCTCTCTGAAACTTTAGTGATGCCTCATCAATCTTGGCCTTCCCTGGCCAGATAACAACCCTCTCTGAGGCTCTAATGACCTTCATAAATTCTGATGTCGGGGCCAGCAAAAATGTAAACTAGCCTTTGTGTTATGCTCCTCAGAGTTGTGTTATCTGTAACCCCCCTTTGTGTAACTTTCTGGGCTATAAAGCTGGGTTGCAAGAAAGTTGCAGGGCTGTCTTGTTCCCGTGGTTTTTGTTGGGAGAGGCAGCCCGGCCGGTCGAAATAATAAGCTTGCTTTAATTTGATTTTAATTGGAATCAGGGGTCTTTTCTTGCATCCTGGTCTAACAACACATCGATCCTGTAGAGATCTCAAGGAACTGGGGTGTGTTATACAGAGAGATATTTTGAGGACTGCTATATTTGGACCATGTGCTCCTGAGGGAGGAAATGTGTTGTAGTTACATTATACCCCGGGGGCCTGGTGCACGGTCACAAAGGGCAAGGTTGGAGGTGGTGGCAGGGAGGGATATTGGCTGGGTAGATGGGCACTGAATGGCTATTGGACAAATGGATGCTGGACACAGGATAGATGGCTGCACAGTGAACGAACAAATGAGGGAAACCCCACAAATAAACAACTGATGGATGACTGGGTGGAATTAGGTAAGTCAGGAGATAATATCTATAGCCTTTTAGAATCCAGACAGTCAGGAATGCCTTTTCTTCAAGGGTTGGCAAACATTTTTCTAACAGGCCAGAGAGGAAATATTTTAGCCTTTTTGAACCACATACAGTCGATCACATACGTATGTCCCCCCACCCCAGAACCCATTATATCCTGGGCTTACAAAGCAGCTCTGGGAAGGCAAGTGAGTACAGACCCAAGTTTGAGCCAAGAAGAAAGCTCTTACTATTCCACAGCTGAAGATGTCCACTCGCTTTGTCAGCTGCCCCACCCTGATGAAATCTTCTGGCAGGTACGCCGCGGAGGCCTGGAAAAGGTGGGTCTTCATCATGGTGTATTTTGACCTTTGGTTGACAGGACACAGGTGAGCCATTGGATGAGCCAGCTTGGGGGTGAAATTTTGGTCCAGCAAAACATTGGAGCTGTGGAAAAGCAAAGAGAATCTTCTCATTCTAAGCTGGAAGGTTTGCCATGGACCCTCTTTTGGAAGACGACTTAGGGGTAGGCAATGTCAGCCCCTGGAAGTGGTGGAGTTACTGAAGACCCTCAACACAGAGCTCACGAGCCAGACCAGTCAGGCAAAGGCAGGGCACTGGGAACCCACTTCCTCTAACAAATGAGGATGGACTTAAGAATTAGTCTTGGGCTGGGGTTGTGGCTCAGTGGTACAGCATTCGCCCAGCATGTATGAGGCCTTGGGTTTGATCCTCAGCACCACATAAAAATAAATAAATAAAATAAAGGTATTGTGTCCAACTACAACTAAAAAATAAATTAAAAAAAAAAAAAAAAAAGAATTAGTCTTGTTGCCCCAGGAATGTGGCTACAGAGGTGGAGCCTTCCTGCTCCCCACAAATGTCAACCCTGATCAGCTCAGCTGGCCAAGCCCACGCAGTGCGCCAATCTGGTCCCTTCCAAAGCTGTTCTGACCCCAGCTCTGCATGGCTGATGCAAGTCAAAATATCAGCATCCCAGATCCTAAGAAATAAAAAGGGCAATAAAAAATTTTACAAAAAACAATAAAAATATTCTTTGACCCATTTATCTCATTGATGGGAAATAACTCTGGGAAAGAATGTGAAAGTGGGGAGATAAGCTAGGCGACATGTGTATCTTCAAATGTAGACACCAATTCCAACACTCACTGTTAGGAGGGGTTAAGTAAATTACGGGTAAAACCTTTTAATGGAAGATTATGGAGTCACTAACCACGAGGTTGATACTCAATGTGGGGAAATAAAGAGAGGAAACAGAAGATGAACTGGCAACCAGTCAACTATTATCTAGGACTAAGGATCTGTGTAGGGAGGAATTGAAACAAGCTATAAAAAGGCTGGGCTGGGGAGCAGCTTAGTGGTACAACACTTGCCCAGTGTGCACAAGGGCCTGAGCTCCATTCCCAGTACTACAAAAAGAAAGAAAAAAACAAAGGCTCGGGTGACTCTATGACCAGTGTGATTTTGCAATCTGTACAATTAGAAAAATGAGAAATTATACCCCAATGATACAAATGTATGAATTGCCAAGATCACTGTAATGTCATGTGTAGATAATAATAAAAAAAAAAAAAAAAACCAAAGGCCTACTGATGAGTCAGGATAGTATACATACCAGTGATGACCTCTAGCCCTTCCAGTTCCTTCCTTGACAATACAATTGTGGATTCAATGAAATGAAAATCAGGGGAGAGAAAAGAGGAAAGGGCTTCCACATTTGCATGTGTCAAATGGAGATAAGCCTCTGGGGAACTATGAGTCTTGTGATTCCACAGCTGGTTCTATCAGATTTTCAGAAATCTTTTAAAAATCGCAGATGCTGAAACCCATGTTGTGACCTCTATTCTTGGACACATGTTACTGAGAAGCTGGAGTATAGGAAGCTCTCCTGACAAGATGCTATCACCATGATACACAAGCAACAGTGCACGGGTCTCTAAGAAGATCAGGGAGCTCAAAATCCCAGGGGGATTGGCAGACATGGCCCGAAGCTCAAGAATGAGGTCCACAGTGGCTGCTGAGTGGACAGTGAAATGCACTGAGGCACGGAGGGCTTGCTGGGAAAACAGCAGCTCAGGAAGACAAACATGGAGTCAGGCAGGCATGAATGCAGAGAGCAACCAGAGGGCACAGCCCAAAAGCAATGATTTTTGAGGGCATAACAAGGAGAAAGAAGATATCTAGGGGAGGGAAGTGGGGAGAGAAAAGCAAAGAGATGAGATGCAGAGGGAGAAAGGAGACGCAAGAACTGGTGCTAGGCCCAGCCTTGTAGCCCAGGCCCTTGGTGAGTCCAACCCAACTCTCACCTCTTGATGTTGCCATGGATGATCTCCAGGCCATGCAGGTGCTCAACAGCACAGAGCAGCCCTGAGCAGATGCTGACACGCTGGGGCCAAGGAAGGGGCTCCAAGTCACCCTAAAAGAAAGGAAAAGTGTAGAAACAGTCACGCCTGCCACTTCCTAAGGTCCTGATGGACTGGTCCTGGTCTCCTCTCTCCCCTAGTCCTTCATGTCTGTCCTCACAACAGGGCTCAGCCACATGACTCACTGACATGGTACTATGGCCCCTGACATCAGACGGAACTGTGTGTAAATCCCCTCAGACACACACTAGCTGTGTGACTTCGGTAAAGACATTTAATGTCTCTGAGGCTGCTTCCTTGGGTAAAAATAGAAACATCAGGCTGGAGGTGTAACCCAGTGGTAGAGTGCTCACCTACTATGTGTAAAGTCCTGGGTTCAAATGAAAGCAAGGAAAGAAGGAAGGGGTGGGGAGAAGGAGGGAGGGAGAAAGAGAGACAGAGAAAACAGAGGGAAAATGAGAGGGAGGAAGGAAGGAAAAGAAAAGAAAAAAAAAAAGGGAAGATTTATCCCTGTTTTAGTAGGACTAATGTAAAGATTCAGGGGCGGTAAAGCATAGTGCCTGCCTTACAGTAGGTGTTCAATAAACAGCAGTCATTTTTACCATGACAGGGGCAGCTCTTGAGATTTCCCTCCTGGAAAAGAAGCTAGGGAGCTTGTGTTTGCATGCCTCGTTCGTAGGCCTTAAGCCCATCTCATGTGCTCTGAGAGAAATGCAGGGTGGGCTGAAGCCTCCCACTTGCTCCCAGGCATTGGCACTTCTGCTCTGAGACTGAATCTCCCAGGCGAAACCACCACCTATTTTTCAACCACTGTTTTAGCTCCCATATCCCCCAACAACTGGCCTGGATGGCCCCTGTTAATAGATTTCTTCTCAAAAACACCAAAATCTGGAGCCAGAGGAACCCAATCGATGGCTCAGCTCATACCCTTGTCAAATGTGCTCCTTTGGGAAAGTCACTTTGTCCCTGTGCCAGAGACCCCTCTTTTGGACAACGGAGGAGGGACCTTTTTTGTTGTTGCAAGGCCAAAAGAAACGACACATGTAAAGCCCTTCTCAAGGTATCTGGCACATGGTGAGAGTTCGGAACAGTTGGTGACCCTTCATACACCACAATTAATGGTTTCGTTGGTCCCTGCCAAGGGAAGCAACAATTTGTTGTGGAGAAATTCTCTAACCTGTCAGAGGATTTTATAAGCAGGAGGTCTATTTTAAAAACTATAAATTTTAGCAGGTATTACATTCACATGATGGTAAAGGTATCAAAGGGAAGATAGTGTAAGTTTTCCTCCCACTCTGTACCCCAGCTACTTAGTTATCCTTCCCAGAGGCAGCCAGTTGACCAGTTCCTTACATATCTTTTCAGGGACAGTCCATTAATACATAAGCAAAAAGGTATATATTGGACTAACATTTGTAATAAAAATTCACCTCCACTTTTCTATACTCTTTCTTCTTAATTATTTTTCTTATCCTGCTGCATTGGCTGCTACCTCCAGAACAATGATGAACCTAATTAGTACTGTGGCATACCTCTGGCTTGCTCTTGACTTGAACGACATGCCTCTTGTCAAATAATTTTTGCATAGGTTTTTCCTGAAGACATTTACTCAGATCTTATCTCCCTTGATCCATCTTCTCTTCTCAAAGCCATCCCTGGTCCTCCCCGAGTGGCCTTCTCTCCTCTGCCCTCCAATAAGTCCTTTACCTTGATTCCCTAACTGGGTGCTTCCTGTTCCTGTTCTCTGATTATGACCCAGTCCCTTACCTGACTCTGGAGTCTGTCCTGTAGAGAACCATTTGTCATGTAGGGGTAGATCAGGCTGTGAAACTGTTTTCCGGAGCAATAGCCCAGCAGAGGTAAGATGTTGGGGTGGCAACATCTGAAATCAGACATCAGTGCACAGTGACAATTCAGACAACAAGAAGAGCCAAAGACTTCCACCCTCTCCACCCACAAGGCCATGGCAACCTCAAAGGTGCCACACACTCCAACCCCTAATGACCTCACCCTGCTGCACTTCCCTGTAGTGTGACACCTTTACCAACCCATTTCCAGGAACAGAAGCCTTGAGATTAGGGAACTTGCCCAAGGCCACAGCCAATAAGCAGTGAAGCCAGGACCCAGCTCCATGTCAGTATGACTCTGGGATTGGAGTTCTTCCCCGCCATCCTTTCCTACTGGGTCTCAGTCACCATTCCCTCCAGGATCACCTCCCTCCTTTCTGGCCACTCTTAGACTTTTTACTAAGACCCTTCTCTTTTGCCTTCCTCTGAAATAAGGGTCTCCTGCAGCTGAGCTCCTCAGCCGGCTTTAAGTGCCTCCTGCTGCTATTAGAAACAATCCCAAACCCCTTGACTCCTAGCCCCATCCTCAGCTCCACACCTGAATGTCTAACTGTATCCTGATGCTCAAGTCAATGTCATCTTAGGCTCAGCAAGTACCAAACCTGCTTCTCCATCTGTATTTATTATATCTGCAATGGGCACACCACCTATCCAGCTTCCTGGACGCTTCCTTACCTCCCCCATCTAATGAGTCACTATTTGTCACATAGACAGCTTTCTAAATGCCTCTTCGTTTCCCTCTCCTTGGCCTTGGTCAACCCCATCCCATCCCATTGCCTCTCTGCTTCCCTCCACCTTCTGCCTGATCTCTCTATCCCCCTCTACTTCCTATCCACACTCGTCATGCCCATTAGTTATTTACAGGCCAGTCCCCCACTGGACCATTAACTTCTCCAAGGCAGGGACCGACTGCTTCAGGTCTGCATGTCCTGGAGCCTAGGAAAGGGATGGATGGCTCCATTATTTCAATCAATGAATGAGGGAGCGACTGCCAACTCTACCCAGGCACTAAGTCAAAGTGGAAGCAGAATTATGTTTCCAGTTTTAATAAAGTGTATGTATGTGTGTGTGTGTGTGTGTGTGTGTGTGTGTGTATATATATATATATATATGTGTGTGTGTGTGTGTGTGTGTGTGTATGTATGTCAAGAGCCATCCATGCGCTATGTGTGAACCAAAAATCGGCATTGCAGCCAATGAACAGGAGAATCTGGTGTCTGGGAACTCTTCCAGTGGAAATTTCCTCTGGCTGTAACTGTCCAAACTCATGTGAGCCCTATTCAGCTCTGCCTGGTCCCCCACAGTACCAGAGATGGGGTGACCTGCTGTAGTAGCACAGCCTCTCAGAAATGGGTTTGACCTGCCAAGATGACAATCAACCTGTTGACTGCAAAACATCAGAAGCAAGACTCCATCCCTGAAACCTATCCCTGCTTTGATGTACACCCTTAAATAAACCACAGGAGCCATTTTCTAATTGTCCAGCTCCAACTCCTGTGTGGGCTGGATCTATCAGGTGCTCTGCTTCAAAACTATTTCTGACTTTGTATCTTTTGTTCTTCACTAATTATTTCTGACTTATTTTCTGTGGTGGTTTATAACCTCGTGGGCAGGAAAAGGGACCCCCTGGCAAGGCACTGGCAGCCTTGTGCACTGATGGAGATGTGCACCGTGTACACACATATCCATCAACAAAAAGAAAAATAATGAAAGAAAATGTATCAAAATAATGCCAGGCACAGCAGCACCTGCCGGTAATCCCAGTGACCTGGGACACTGAGGCAAGAGGATCGCAACTTTGAGGTCAATTTAGGCAATGTAGCAAGATCCTCTCTCAAAATACAAATTTTAGAAAGCCTGGGGGTGTAACTCAGTAATACAGTACCTGCCTAGTAAGTTCAAGGCATTGCAAAAAGAAAAAAAAAATGTTGGGCGCAGTGGTACACACCTGTAATCCAGCTACTTAGAAGGCTAAGGCAGGCTGGGCACAGTGGCATACACCTGTAATCCCAGTGGTTTGGGAGGCTGAGGCAGGAGGATCACGAGTTCAAAACCAGCCTCAGCAAAAGCAAGGTGTTGTTAAACAATTTGGTGAAACCCTGTCTCTAAATAAGATACAAAGTAGGGCTGAGGATGTAGCTCAGTGGTCAAGTGCCTGAGTTTAGTCCTTGGTACCAAAAAAAAAAAAAAAAAGAAGAAGAAGGCTAAGGCAGGAGAATCATAAGTTGAAGGCCAGTCTGAGCAATGTATCAAGACCCTGACTCAAAAATGAAAAAAGCTGAGGATGTAGCTCAGTAGTATAGCTATACTATACCCTCCCTAGGTTCAATCCCCTGTATCACACACAAAACAAAATATTAATACACACTGCTATGGTACTTTAAATATTTTTTTAAAATATTTATTTTTTAGGTGTAGATGGACACAACACAATGCCTTTATTTTTATGTGGTGCTGAGGATCAAACCTGGATCCCGCCCATGCTAGGCGAGCGCTCTTCCGCTGAGCTACAATTCCAGCTCATATATTTTCTTATTTATAATTTTTTTCCAGTGCTGAGGATAGAACCTAGGGAGGGCCTCATGCATGCTAGCTCCACCATGGGGCTACACATCCAGTACTCAAAGTTATATTATTTCTTAAAATACTCCCTAGTAATCATGCATTATTCCATAATAATCATGCATCATGTGGCCAGCATGCAATAGGTGGTCAATGTGTGTTCATGAAGGGAGAGCCAGGACAAAGTTCCCAGGACTGTGAAAAAGCTTTCCCAGTCCCCACCCAGCTCTGGAATTGGAAGGCCCACTTCATTTCTCTGGTCTGAATTTATCAATTTGTAAAATGAGCAGATTTAACTTCTGTTTTTGTGGGACTGGTGATTAAACCCAAGATGCTCTACCACTATAAGCTACATCTCTAAGCCCTTTTTATTTTTTATGTTGAGACAATCTCACTAAATTGCTGAAGCTGGCCTCAAACTTGCAATCCTCCTGCCTCGATCTCCCAAATAGCTGGGGTTATATGCATATACCACTGCACCCAGCTGAAAATCACTTTTGAAGGCCTTTATTTCTGTACCCTGGGGTTCAGTAAACCCCCTTTTTTTTTTCAGTCTCACACTTACAAGCATGTGCACTACCACTGAGCTATATTCCCAGCCCTTCAGCAGACTTTTCCAGTAAAGGACTGCTTAGTAAATAGGTTAGACTCTGTAGGCCATACAGTCTCTGTTCCAACTACTCAACCATACCCTGTAGCACAAAAGTAGGTACAGATAATTTAGAAATGAGTAATTATGGCTATGTTCCCAATGCAACTTTATTATAGGCACCAAAATTTGAATTTTATATAATATTCTTGTGTCATGGAGTACTTTTTTCCCAACCAATTAAAAATGTACAAACAATTCTTAGCTCTCAGGCTGTACAAACATAAGTGGGGCCAGATTTAGCCGGTGGGTCTGCATTTGCCAAACCCAATTCTAGTGGGCTACAATTTTAAGGTGGATTCACCATTAGAGTTGCAATTCATAAGTCTCTGCCTATATCAAAGCATGGGACAGAAACATTTCTTCCCACATGGAAAGCAGGGGATGGAATGAGCCAGGTTTCCTTTATAACTCTAACCTATGCACATACTTGCTACATGGGAAAAGCATGGATTCTGGACACAGACCATGTAGGTTCATCAGTAAGTGGCTCTACCACTTACTAGCTTTGTGATTTTGGACCAGACACTTATCCTCTCTGTGCCTCCACTCACCCACCTGTAAAACAAAGTGATAATAGTAGCTATGTTATAGTGTTCATGAAGACTGAATGAGTTTATATGCTGATTTAAATGTGCCCCCCAGAGTTCATGTGTTTGAAACTTAATCTCCAAATTCAACGTTAATGGTATTTGAAGGTGGGCCCTTTGAGAGGTAATTAGGATTAGATGGGGACATGAGGGTGGTGCCCCTAAGACAGCATTAGTGGCTTTATAAGAAGAAGAGAGACAACACAGAGCACTTCACACCCCCCTGGCACATAGGAAGCACCATAGAGGGGCTACCTGTTATCATAATTGGACAAAGCATTTTCCAAAGGGGAACTTACCTAAGACAAAGCTGCACCTCTGCCTGGAAGTACCTCTCCACTGACCCTGGACTTGAGCAGGCTGTCTGTGGAGAAAGACACTGGAACATGAAGACCCAGCCTCTCCTGTGTAGCCTCCACCCCTCTCTAGAAACCCACCAGGCTCACCTCTCTGAGCTTCTTGAAGGCTAAGGGCATTCCGTGCCTTTGCCCTCTGTAGACATCAGCAAAGGTGCCTTCGCTGATTCTGTGGCTTTGGTCAAAGTCACCTGTTGCCTGGATCACTTCTGCCTCACTCCAGAAAAGGCTTTCTTCAGTCATGTTCGAGCACTTTTCCTGCTGTGGAACGGAGGTACTGAAGTCCTAAGAATTGAGAGAGAGAGAGATTGAGGTTACCATGGAAGCTTGCTTCCCCTGCTACCTCCAAGGTCCCTGGAAACCAGAGCTGAGGGAATAGAGCTGATCATCTTATTCAGTAGGAAGTGGTAGAAAGGACACTGATGGGCCTGAGCTCAGATCCCAGCTGTACCTCTGTGACCTTGAATGAATTACTCAACCCCTCAATTTCCCCACTGGCAAATATAACAATAGTACCCCGGAAGGCAATTTTGAAGATTCACTAAGGTATTGGTGTGCAGGGAGTCAAATAAATGAAGTGAGGTCACACATCTGGTCAACTGCCACACTTGGTGCCCTCAGTCCTGTAACATAGCAGGATGCTGGGCCTCCAGACTTCAGGAAGTGGGGAATGGATTCATAAAACCAAGCACAATTCTCTACAGTCTCGGAGTCTTGGTGCACATGGAACCCTATAAAAAGATGCTCTCCTTCAGCACCTTCCCTTTTTAAAAAGGGATACATACAAATTGAAATTTGGCAAAGTTATATGTGCTCTTATTAACAGTTTTAGAAAATTGGGGGCACAATATTCTCCATAATCCCATTATCCATTTAATTGCTATTAAAATTTAGCGTATTTCCTGCCAGTAAGCTACATCAGGATTTATTGAGCAAAAACAGGCCTGTGCTGCACACATATACAGCTTGAATTTCTAGTTATTTTCCTCTTGATATTATACCATGATCATTCTCCTAAGGGATTAGACCATCATTTTTTTTGGGGGGAGGAGGGTACTACAGACCAAACCCAGGCACACTTTACCGCTAAACCACTGAGCTATACCCTCAGCCCCTTTTCATTTTTTATTTTGAGACAGAGCCTTGCTAAGTTGTTGAGACTGGCCTCAAACTTGTAATCCTTCTGCCTCAGCCTCCTGAATCTTTAGGATTATAGGCATGCACTACCACACCAGGGTTAAAAACATTTTTTTAAATGAAAATCCCTGCTTGAAAGAGTTCCTTTTTTTAAAATTTTTTTAACATTTTTTTAAGCTGTAGTTGGACACAGTACCTTTATTTTATTTATTTTTTTAATGTGATGCTGAGGATTGAACCCAGCACCTCACACATGCTAGGCGAGCGCTCTACCGCTGAGCCACAACTCCAGCCCCCTTGAAAGAGTTCTTTATGGCGGAACTTCATTAATCAGATCCATGCAGCTGCCTTCTACCCAAGACACTGAACCGGTAATACTTTTAAGGACCATGAAAACACGTTAGTTTCTTTTAAAATTAGAAGAAAATAAATGTATTTTTAGAATCAAAAAAATTGTTTGATTTTGTTTTGTTCTGCAGTGCTGAGACGGAACCCAGAGCCTCATGTGCTCTGAGAATGCACTCTACCACTGCACCCACTCCCAGCCGAGGGTTTTCATTTTAATCCAATGTGGATTAATATTTATATGAATATTAATGTCAGAAAAGACAATTCTGTTTTTTTTTTTGTTTGTTTGTTTCTGTTAGCAAAGGAAGTCAGTGCATCCTAAAACCCAAATCACTCAAAATACAGCTAACTCAGACTGAGTTATTCAACCCAGAACAAGTGAGTTGAAAAAAGGTAGGGGAGGGGGTTTATAAGCAAATGACCACCGTGTCAACACATTTGGGGAGGAAGGAGGTCAATAATCAGCTCATCTCTCATTTAAACATAAATAATGGGAAAATCCATGAAAAGCATGTATGTAGGTTGGAGGGTAACTCAGTGGCACAGCGCTTACCCGGTATGTGTGAGGCACTGAGATCCATCCCCAGCAACTCACAAAGAGAAAAGAAAAGAAAAATGCACTCCGTGAAGTGCACTCTCTCCACCCCTGCAGATTTTGTTGCCTGCCTATGCCTGTGGTCATAGAGGGCTCGAGTAATTTCATGGGTCTCCCTTCTCTTCCCCACCTTCAAACTGGTCTCAGGATGAAGAAATGAGAGGCTCCGTGAGCTGGGCAGTGCAGAAAGGGGTAGAAGTAGAGTGGGGATTTACCTTTGAATCCAATGAGGTGGGGAGGTGAGGTCTTGAGGAATGAAGCACAACCCCCTTAGAAGAAAGCAGGAGAGAGGCCTGCTGCTGGTCTCTGGCTGGAGAAGACCCTGGAAAGGAAGGACTTAGGGTCAGGACTTGCCTATAAGGGGAGGAGCTGAGGGGTGGGCTCCCATCTAGTCCCCAGACCAAGACTGGCACTTTCTCAGTGCTGCCACTTCCTGCCACTCACCACACGCCAGGCCACACACTCCTTAGGTGGGCATCACCTCATTTAAGCTATGTGACAACTTGACAACTTGACAGGTGGAGATGTGGAAGCACTAGAGGTGGGGCCACACCCAAGACCACATAGCTGGTGTGTGGTAGAGCCAGGATTCCCCCTGCCCTGTGCCACCACCCACTCAGCCCAACCAGCTGCCAAGCATGCCTTCTAGAAGCCTCCACAGCAGCTCACGAGGCAGTGAGCAACCTCTGAGGCCAAAGCCCATGGTGGTCAGAGGCCAAAGAGACCACAGTGGGCTGGGAAAAGGGAGGACTTCAGGGAGGAAGGAGCATTAGACCTGGCCTTGAAAGATGGGGAACTTTTTTTAACAGGGTGGCAAGGGTTGCTGGGATGAACCTAGGGGTGCTCTACTACTACCCCCCAGCCCCCCAAACAATAATTTTCAGGGTCCCACTAGTTGCCCAGATTGGGCCTCAAACTTGTGATTCTCCTGCCTCAGTCTCCCAGGCTGCTGCCATCACCCCGTGGGGAAACTTTTTTGCTAAGTGGATGTGGGGTGGGAGGAACTGAGGCAGTGGATCCGCCATGCAGAGGCAGGGCAGCGGGAGGCCCCAGCACAGCAGATCCACCAGGCCCTGTTTTAAACGCTTCACGTGTGTTATTCATCTCTTGACTTGGGTGGATCATTAAGGTCTATCCCATGCCAGGAAGGCTACTAGCCAGGAGAGAGGCTGCATCTCTCCCTGTGGTTCTGGTAAAAGGGAATGGGGCTTGGACATATAGCACAATGGATGAGTCAGGTAAGGTGCGCTGGGACTTAGTCTTAGCTCCCCATGTTAAGGGCGACTATGGTAGAAGAGATAGAACTGGGGATGGAACCCAGGGTCTCGCATATGCTAAGCGCACACTCTACTGCTGAGTTAGACTTCCAGCACCCGCAATAACAATCTTCAAAGACTCCCACTATATGTCCAAAGAGCAGAGAGAAGAGGAAGAGAGGGATTCTCCTGCCATTGAGGGTCTGGTTCAAAGTGCATCGGGCTATGGGTTCTGCACCAATGCAGTCTACCAAGCTCAGATGGAAAATAGGCTTAACAGACAGTATCTGTGCCGAACACAGACAGATTTTTTTCTTGTCATTATTTCCTAAACAATAGTCTGACAACTATCTATACAACACTTACATTGTATTGGGTATTACAAGAAATTTAGAGACGACTGAAAATAGACAGGAATACATGCACAGGTTATCTGCAAACAACACTATAATTAAGGGACTAGAGTGTCCAAAATCTGGCAGCCATGGAGGTCCTGAAACCAAGCCCATGGGTAACTAAGGGACAACTGTAATCAGAATTTCATCATTGTTTGATCACTACTGAGCAAGCTGATTGGGACAGGAAAGGTCATTAAACTCTGCTTTTGTAAGTGTATGGAATTTCCTGTATGAGAAAATGTTTTAAGCCAGGTAAGGTGGTGGCACACCTATAATCCCAGTGACTCAGAGGCTGAGGCAGGTGGCTGGCAAGGTGGAGGCCAGCCTGGGAAACTTAGCAAGACCCTGTCTCAAAATAAAAATCAAAAAACCTGGGGGTGGTTCAGTGGTAGAGTACCCCTGGGTTCAATCCCCAGTACTGGGGGTGGGGGAGAGAGAGTATCTAAGGAAAAATAGGAGAATAGGTCAAAATAGCCAATGATGCAAGATGGGTCATGGGTGACCTGTGGGTGATGGGTACTGTGGGGTGGCATGGGTGGGACTGCTGTGTGGCTTCCATGTATGTATGTTGAAGATCTTCAACAAGAAGAGCCACAAGTGGGTCAGGAAACAGGGCTGGTGTGTCCCACAGCTAGTAAGCAACTGGCCTCTTCTGTGAGCTCACAGAGGACCTCAGAAGGCCTGGGGGCCAGAATGCACTTTCATGCCTCCTTTATCCAGCAAGGTCAGGGGAGGCACTATCTACATAAGTGCCTCCAAAACACTGGGAATTAACCCTTTGAGAACTGTTAACAACAATAACAAAAAAACAAACACTTATTTCAGAACTCTTTGTAGAACACCTGCTTTTCTAGATGGAATGCAGGTTCACCTCCTGTGACTCTAAGAAAGGTAGGTGTGGCCCCTGTGCTGATCCCCATGTGGCTGTTCTGATGTAAAATCTTAGGGTTTTCCTAAGGCAGAGCAGGCCTTGATCTGACGCTGTGAATGATTACTCTCCTATTTTTAGTTTGGGCAAACAGACCATTGACTTCCTGTCTCACACTGCAGTCATCATCTGGACCTGCCAGGCATACCTGCTCCCCGGGCCATGCAAGAAAGTAAACAGTACAAAGACTGGTGGCAAAGGTGACAAGGCGACGCTTGTTTTTACAGTAACCGGGATAATGAATCCTGGAAGGAACTGCTATACCTGTTACCTGCTCCATCCTGAGGGGTGCCTGGCTAGAATTCCCCTCTCTTATTTTTCCCTCTGGCTATTGGACCAGTTCCCCTTACCTTTAATTGCTGATTAGAAGTCTGTATTTATTTTTCCTCTTTCTTTTCTTTTGTGTGTGTATGTGTAGGGTGGTGCAGGTACTGGGTATCAAACCCTGGACCTTGTCTGTGCTAGGCAAATGCTATACCACTGAACTAAATCCCCAGCCCTTTTTATTTTATTTTGAGAGACAGTCTTCCTAAGTTGCTGAGGGTATTGCTCAGTTGCTAAGGCTGGCCTCAAGTTTGTGATCCTCCTGCCTCAGTCTCCTGAGTTGCTAGGAACACAGACAGGTGCCACCACATCTGAATGTACTTTTAAAAATATATGTTTAGCTACAGGAAATTATTCAGACTCAACCTAGCTGGGGAGTCTGGAATGTTCCTAGTGTCTGTTAACATTTAGTGAGCACTACCACCCTGGCAACACTGAAGTGTATGATCCTTCCAACAACATGGAATGGGTTCTGTTATTTTTACAGATGAAGAAACTGAAAGTACAGGGAGGCTAAGTCATTCTCCCTGCTAGAAAGTGACAGCCATGGGATTCAAATACAGGTCTGCCTCATGCCAAAGATCTGCTCCTCTTGGCCAGTGCACTCCCTGGCCTCTGGAAACTGCGTCAGTAAACAGATTTCATGGATTTGGGATCTCTGGCTTCCACTCAGAAGGCCACAAGAGAGAGGAGGTGAGACTCAGCTACAGAGGCAAGAGGGAGACCAGAAGCCAACTATGGGTTTCTCCTGGGAAGCCATCCATCAGCTGAGACATCCTCTCATCTGGCAAACTGTCCCCCAGCCCTTGTCTGGACACAGGGGAAGGAAATGAATCTGAAGTGGTCTGCCAGGCTCTGGGATAGCAGCATGTGCAGTACTTAGGGACTTATGCAACCAGATCCCATGACCCAGACATCTCTTCCTACTCATGTGCCCTTAAAGGGGTCACTCTCCTATCTCAGGTCCCTCAGGACAAAGGAGCAGAACTGTGACTGACAGAGAGGAGGCGTGGGGGAGGGCACCCTCTTCTCTCCATGGCTGGGCTTTGAATGCTGGGCTCTGGACAGAGATGGGGTCAGGCACCCAGCTCAGAGTCCCCATGCAGGCCTGACCTATGCCTGACCTATGGGAAGGCACCAGTTAAACATGGTAACCCCTGACCTTGGCCAGACTGTGTGACCTCTCTATACTTCAGTAGCCTCATTGGTGAAGTGGAGATAAGAATAATACATAACTCATATACTTGGCTAAGGATTAAAGGTCCTTAATTACTGAGTAATTTTTTGCTTTTGACAAAGATGATAATGAGAGCTGAGATGCAGCTCAGTGGTAGAGTGCCTGCCTAGCCTGTGTAAGGCCCTGGCTTCCATCCCCAGCACCACAGAATAAGAAGGTAACAAATTCTATATGTCCTTTTGGATTATTTATTTATTTATTTAGGTACTAGGGATAAAACTCAGGGCTTCACATATGCTAAGCACAAGCTTTACCACTGAGTTACACCACCAGTCCATATGTATATTTTTGTTTGTTACCAATTTATTTTACTTTTTGGTTTTTGCTTGTTTTGGGATTTGGGTTTTTGTTAAGATAGAGTCTCCCTATGTTGCCCAGGCTTATTTGGAACTCCTGGACTCAGGCAATCTTTCAGTCTCAATCCTCCCAAGTGCTAGAACTATGGGGGGTTTTTTTCACTTTTTTTTTTTTTTTTTTTTTTTGCTTTTTTTGCTACCAGGGATTGAACTCAGAGGGACTTAGCCACTAAGTCACATCCCCAGCCCTTTATATTTTGAGACAGGGTCTCGCTAACTTGCTAAGGCTGTCTTTGGACTAGTGATCCTCCTGTCTGGGCTCCGAGTTGCTGGACTTACAGGCATGGGTTTTTTTTTCCCACTTTTAACTCACTATATGTGAACATGTCTCCATGAATATGCACATATCTACGACATCGTTAACTGTACTTTATCACTATGAAGGTCTGTCATTTTTCTATCCCCCACCCCTAAAATTCTGATCTGATATCCTGAGTTGATTGTCCTTCTAGATACATCCTCGTTTCCTTAAACATTTTTGCTGTAAGTTAAAAAAATCAAATTAAATTGACGATACCTGGACCTGGGAAGGCAGTGGGTCTCAAGGGCTGCCCCCTTTCCTGCTCATCCTGGGTGTTTCTCCCAGAGGCTGCTACAGGTCCTGGCTTCACCACCTCTGGGGAGGCTGGGAAGGAAGGTCTGGTTTCAGGAACTGGTTTCCCTGAAAACAAGATGGAAAGAAGGTCATTATCATTTCCTGGCATGGGGTAGCCATGGAGAGGCTGGGCCTGGAAGTAACAGACTTGGCTATGCCCTAGATTCACAGAGTGCCTGGGATGAAGGGTCTTTCTCTCTCTGGATCAAGTCTATGCACCATGATGCCTGGTAATGCGCCAGCTCTGACATTCTGTGTTACACACGCCTGTTTTCTGACCCTGCCAGCTGTGTAACCTCAGACATGTGACTTTCCATCTCTGAGCCTGTTTCCTTACCTATAAAATAGAGATCTTGATAATAATAACATCCACTTGCCTCCCTTGCAGGACTGATGTAAGAAGGAAATGAGAACACAAGTGTGAAAGGGCTTTAAACACCATCCATTTCCTGTGAGCACATGAGCAAGTTAAAGATACCCAATCCCAGGGCTGCAGTTGTAGCTCAGTGGTAGAACGTTTGCCTAACATGTGTGAGGCACTGGGTTCAATCCTCAGCACCACATAAAAATAAATTAAATAAAATAAAGGTATTGTGTCCATCTGCAACTAAAAAAACAAACAAAAAAGATATCCAGGGTTGGGGATATGGCTCAAGTGGTAGAGCGCTCACCTGGCATGCGTGAGGCACTGGGTTCAATCCTCAGCACCACATAAAAATAAAATAAAGATTTGGGCTGGGGATGTGGCTCAAGCGGTAGCGCGCTTGCCTAGCATGCGTGCAGCCTGGGTTCCATCCTCAGCACCACATACAAAAAACAAAGATGTTGTGTCCGCCAAGAACTAAAAAATAAATATTAAGATATTTTTTCTCTCTCTCTCTCTCTCTCTCTCTTTAAAAAAAAAAGATACCCATTCCCAGGCTGTGGATGCAGCTCAGTGGTGGAGCACTTGCCTAGCATGCACAAGGCCCTAGGTTGCAGCCCAGCACTGAAAAAAAAAAAAAAAAAAGATAAAAAATAAAAACCTGTCCCTCTAAGTTGCTCCTTATACTCAGAGGCATAAAAGTTCTTGTTGTCCTACAGCTTCCCTCCATAAGCCATGCAACACAAGTACCCTTCCCCAGTTTGTAGACATGCTACTCATCAGCACAACAGAGGACCCACCAAGCCAGGTCCAGGTCCAGTGTCAGAGAAGTTAAATCCTTACATCTTTGTGTTTCATCTCTGTTAAATATGGGGAAACTGAGGCCTGGGCAGGTCAGTGATTTGCCCATGATCACACAGCCAGAGGCAGGCTGGGCTGGCTGCAGAAGTCCTCTGCTCCTCAAGAGCAATCACTTCCCATTGACATGGATTTGAGAAACCCCAAAGATGCTGTGAGGGCGTTCTGACACAGTCACAGAGATAGGAAGGAAACTCACCAGATCAGTTACAAAAAATAGGGCAAGAGCTGACAAGCACCAGCCAGAACATACTAGAAGCTCTGTGGGCCTCCAATGGTTTCTCCTGCAACTGGTTACCTCTGCCATCATAGCAACATAAACAGGGACACTATGTAAATTCATCAGTGTTCCAATAAAACTTTATCTATACAAACAAAAGGCAGGCCAGATTTGGCATATGGGCTTTAGTTAACTGAACTCTGGAATAAGGATAATAATAAATTAAAAGATGTATGACTTTATCCATTGACATGAAAAGGTGCTAAGAACATACTGTTGAATAAAAAGAGTAAGCAACAGAAGAGCATATATCATATGTTAATAGCTTGGTGTAAAATACGTGTAAAAGTATAGAAGAAGTCTATATATATAAAGAGAAAAGGAGTAGACATGGTAGTGCACATCTGTAATCCCAGCCACTTGGGAGGCTGAGGCAGCAGGATTATAAGTGAGAGGCCAGCCTCCACAACTCAGCAAGACCCTGCCTAAAAATAAACAAATAAAAAGGGTTGGGGATGTGATTCAGTGGTAGAGAGCACTTTCCTAGCATATGCAAGTGTGGTAAGCCATTCTTATAGACCGTGGCCGCCATTAGAAGATGGCGCCGGCTTCCACTGTGGCCTGTGATAAACAACTCCTTTTTTGGAGAGTTGGCGCGCAATCCCTTACCACCCTATGAGAGAGATCCACGTGGCAGCTTGGGATTGGTATGCGGGAGGCTTTATTAGGCTGTGCTTGGGCGCTCGGCGGGGGGGGTCACTAGAAGATGATACTTGAATCAAGGCCTGAATAAACTGCTGAAAGAAGAATCCTGTGTCGTGTTTTCCCTTGCCAGCGAGGGGTCGCGACATGCAAGGCCCTGGGTTCAATACCCAGTAACTAAATAAAAATAAATAAACAGATATATAAAAGAGAGAAGGAGAAAAGGAACCTGAAGAATCACATCAAAATATGGGTGACAGTGATCATTTCAGGGTGGAGAGAGTGGCAGGGATTTTATATTGTTTATTTTTTCCTTTTGGTTTATTCATATCACAGAATTTTTCAACAATGATCATTCATTATTTGCAAAATAAAGAATATTCGCTAAAAAAAAAAATGAGTGAGCCAGTGAGTTCAAATAATGACTAGGATGGATCTTCCACACCCTAGTGAGCAGCCTGCCCTGGGGACACCACTGGCCCAATTCCTAAGCATGTGAGCCCATGAGCCAGCCCTCCACTGATTCAACTGACTAACTTGTGCTTTTACCTCCCCACGGATGTTCTATTTCTCACTCCAAGTACCCTTCCTCCCCCTAACACCCTGGAAGTCTGAGGTAAGGAAACAGACTCATGGAAGTTATGAGACCAGACCTGGATGGATGGATGGATGGATGGATGGATGCAGAGAGGAGAAGGCCCTGAGTCAGGAAGGCACCTCCCCAACAGGATGTCATCCCTCCCCCCAGGGTCCTCTCACATTGCAGAGGGACTCTAGCAGCAGCTCCTTCCCGGCAGCCACCTGGCCCCATGGTGTCCTGCCCCCATGGTGTCCTGCCTTCAGCAGGCGCAGGCAGGAAGGGAACAATGGGTCGTGGTACACAACAGCAGCAAAGAACAATTAGAACAATTACAAGAGAACAGTGACTCAAGAGCAGGTCTGGGACAGAGCTGCCCACTCCCAGGGTGTGGAGGAAGGGCCACTTCATGCCATTCCAAGGCATCTTATTCCCCAGCCTAGGCTCTCTGGCCAGGGACACTGCCTCTCTCCTATCACCTTCCTTCCACAGAACCACGTCGGGTGGAAATGCCATGTTCCTCCAATTGCCACATTGGTGGCATCCTTGTTACCTCATGTGTGAAGCCCAAGGGCAGAAGTGGCTCCCTCGTGCTGGCTGGGGAAGGGTCCCCAACAGTGACCTACAGAGGCCAGGCCCACAGTGTGTGACACTCCCCAAGGGTCCCATCTGCACTGGGCACAGCCCTGGCCACAGCAGATGAGGCACCTGGCCCTGTCTGTATGAGCCTTAGTTTCCACTGGGGGAAGGAGGCCATCTGGCCTCACTTATCCTCAGTGCCCCACCCCCGATGACATCTTTGTTCAGTACAAATCTTTGCTTTGTCAAGTCATAGTTGGTAGGAACATCAAAACCACCAGCCCATTTGGTGACCCCTGAGGGCTCCAACCATGTGGAATATAGGAAGCTTCTTTCTCTGTTTTCATCCTAGGGAGAGTCCAGCTCTTCTGTCTCTTTTTTTCTTTTCTCAGTGACACACAGTGGCACTCTGGATCACACGGAAGTGATGCCAGATTTAAAGACAGGTAGTTAGTGTAGTTAGGTAAATTGGGTCTAATGTGGAGAATGGAGTCCAAGAAACCAGAACAACACCTGGGGAAATTGAAATCTTAATGTCCCCAAGGCTCCGACCCATCCTAAAGAACTGTTAATGAAGTAACTCCCAGCAAATGGGGAGGTGCCAATCAAACCACCCCAGGCCCTTCCAATGCCCAGATTACTCCTCCCTGATCCATCAGTCCACCCATATCCCAACTTTTGGCCTTCCCACCTGCATCCCCCATCACTGCAAGATAGAGAGAAACAAAAGATAGATGAGAGAGGACAAAAGAAGACCTTAGATATAAAATAGGGAAGACCTCCCCTTTCCACGAATTCCAACTTTCAGGTCCCCTTCTTCCTTCGGGAAGAAGTCTTTCCTGCTATCCTTTAATAAAGCTTCCACTTTCCACTCTCCACTTGCCTCGGCACGCTTCTCTGGTGTTATACTTCAGCATTCAGGGAAGCAAGGACTCTTCACCGATAAACAGTGGTAACAGAAGGGCGTTGGGGCGGGGACAGGGCATCAGCCTTCAAGGAAACCTGGCGGTTCCCTTGGGGTGACAGCCATCCTCCCACACAGAAGGTACCTAGTCACACTTGGAGAGCCACACCCAGCACCAACATCAGCTGACAGCCAATGTCAGGACTCGTGAGAAGTTTCGGTTTCCTGAAACCCCTGTCTCAGTGTGCTCTGGATTTGGATATCTTTTTTTGTTTTGTTTTTAATGGCAATACTGGGGAATTGAACCCATGGCCTCATGCATGCTAGTAAAGTACACTAACACTGAGTGACATCCCCATCCCTTCTTATTTTGAGACACGTCTTGCTAAATTGTCCAGGCTGGCATTGAACCTGAGATCCTCCTGCCTCTGCCTCCTGAGTAGCTGGGATTGAAGGTGTGACTTACTAGGCCTGACTAAATGTCTTTTAAATGCAAACAATAAATATAATGAATAAACACCAGACAACTTGGGCTGGGGTGTGGTTCAGCATACACAAGGCCCTGGGTTTCATCCCCCACACCACAAAAGAAGAAAACAAAGCAAAAAATTTTAAACATATTGATTTCTGCCCTGGAATTGCTGATATGTGATCTGAATTGGAAGAGGCGGGACAGGTCTTTGCCTCATTTCCTACAATCAAAGCTGCAGGCCAGCCGGCTCAGGAGGCTGAGGCAGGAAGATCACAAGTTAGAGGCCAGTCTCAGCAACTTAACAAGGCCCTGTCTCAAAAGAAAAAAAATGAAAAGGGCTGTGGCTGGGGCTCAGTGGTTAACCGCTTCTGCATTCAATCCCTGGTACCA